GCCCCCAGGAAGATGCAGCACAAGAACCTGGTGCGGCTCCTGGGCGTGATTCTGCACCAGGGGCTTTACATCGTCATGGAGCACGTGAGCAAGGTGGGGGCGGGGCCTCGGACGGGGCGGGGCCGGGGTCCCAGCGGGGGCGGGGCCAGGATTCCGGCAGGGGCGGGGCGTGACACTAGCAGGGGTGGGGATTCCGGTGGGGGCGGGGCCTCGGACGGGGCGGGGCCGGGGTTCCAGCGCGGATGGGGCCTCAGGTTCCAGCAGGGGTGGGGATTCCTGTGGGGGCGGGACCGGGGTTCTGGCAGAGGGGCAAGGGAGAGGGGTACACAAGCCGCCGCAAGCCCCCGGCCTGTCCCCTCCACAGGGCAACCTGGTAAATTTCCTGCGGACGCGGGGCCGGGCCCTTGTGAACACTGCCCAGCTCCTGCAGTTTTCGCTGTGAGTGGGGCTTGCGGAGAGGCGGGTGGGGGGAAACTGAGGCACAGGGCGGGGAGGAGCCTGGCCTTGGGACTGGGCCGTCCGCCAGCTCGGCCCGCCATCTCGCCCCCCCAGACACGTGGCCGAGGGCATGGAGTACTTGGAGAGCAAGAAGCTGGTGCACCGCGACCTCGCTGCGCGCAACATTCTGGTGTCTGAGGACCTGGTGGCCAAGGTCAGCGACTTCGGCCTGGCTAAGGCCGAGCGGAAAGGGCTGGACTCAAGCCGGCTGCCCGTCAAGTGGACCGCGCCCGAGGCTCTGAAGCACGGGGTGAGCTCCTAGGCTCCAGGGCGGGGGCAGGCGGGGGCAGGCTTGGAGCTCCAACTCTGCTGTGTGACCCTGGGCACGTCATCTGACCTCTCTGAACCCCCAGGAGAAGTGGGGGTCGAGAGAGTCCCTGCTCGCCATAATTGTCCCTGTCCGCCTCTGTGCCGCGTTTCCCTTGTGTGACCCTCTCTGGGCCTCAGTTTCCCCATCTCTGAAATGGCCTTGGGAACTCTTGGTATTTGTGAGCTCCACACAGAGGGGAAGAATGGTGGCCTCCTCCCTGCCTGGGTCTGGGGGCCTTGGGGGAGGAGTCTATTGGGAGGAGACCAGAGAGGGTCGGTCAACCCAGGGGGACTCTCTGGAGGAAGCAGGAGCCAGAGCGGAAGGCCCCAGGCCACCCTCCTCACCTGACCTTGGGCCTCACAGAAGTTCTCCAGCAAGTCAGATGTCTGGAGTTTTGGGGTTCTGCTGTGGGAGGTCTTCTCATACGGCCGGGCTCCATACCCCAAAATGGTGAGTGGGGCCTGGAGGGGTGGCTGCGGGGTCCCGAGTGGGTCTGGGGGCTGTGGCCCTAACCCTCCGCCCATGCTGGCATGCCCTCTGTCTGCAGTCACTGAAGGCGGTGTCAGAGGCTGTGGAGAAAGGCTACCGCATGGAGGCCCCTGAGGGCTGCCCGGGCCCCATCCACACCCTCATGGGCAGCTGCTGGGAGGCTGAGCCCTCCCGCCGGCCGCCCTTCCGCAAGCTGGCCGAGAAGCTGGCCCGGGAGCTGCGCAGCGCTGGCACCCCGGCCTCCACTGGGGGTCAAGAGGCCGATGGCTCCACGTCGCCCTGCACCCAGGAGCCCTGACCCCACCGGTGGGGCCATGGGCCCCAGAGGACCAAGAGAGTTGGGGACACAGGAGGGCGCAGGCCAGGCCTGAGGAGGGTTGGCCCACCCGGCTGCCCTCCTGGCTCAAAGGGCAGGGCAGGCCTGCAGGGGCTCCAGCAGCCCATGGACACCACAGACCCTGGGGAAGGTGAAGGATTTGCACCTTGATAAAGATGCTGGTTCCAAGGACACTGGGTGTCTGTGTCTCTCTGACCCCTAGAGCCCTCTCAACCTGAGGGGGCTGCACCTGGCCTCCCCACAGACCGTGTGCTTTGGATCCACCCACCCATCCATCCATCTGCCATCCACCATCCATCATCCTTCCATCCACCATTCATCCATCCATCCATCCAACCATCCATCCACACATCCATCCTTCCATTCACCATCCATCATCCTTACATCCACCATCCATCCATCCTCCAACCATCCATCCACACATCCATCTACCCATCCACCATTCCCCATCCATCATCCTTCCATCCACCATCCATCCATCCTCCAACCATCCACCCACACATCCATCCACCCATCCACCATCCATCATCCTTCCATCCACACATCCATCCACCCATCCACCATTCACCATCCATCCACCATCCATCCTCCAACCATCCATCTACACATCCATCCATCCTTCCATCCATCCATCCACCATCCATCATCCTTCCATCCACCATCCATCCACCATCCATCATCCTTCCATCCACCATCCACCATCCATCATCCTTCCATCCACCATCCACCATCCATCATCCTTCCATCCACCATCCATCCACCATCCATCATCCTTCCATTCACCATCCACCATCCATCCTCCTTCCATCCACCATCCATCCAAACATCTATCCACCCCCCATCCATCCAAACGTCCATCCACCCATCCGTACATCCATCCACCCATTCATCCATCCATCCACCCATCTATCCACCATCTATCATGCTTCCATCCACGTATCCATCCATCCATCCAACCATCTTCCATCCATCATCTAACATCCATCCACCCATCCATCCATCATCCTATCTATCATCCATCATCCTTCCATCTACACATCCATCCACCCATCCTCCATCCATCCATTTATCCACCATCCATACACCCATCTATCCACCATCCATCATCCTTCCATCCACACATCCATCTATCCTCCATTCATCCATCCACCCATCCTCCATCCACACATCAATCCATCCATCCATCCACCCATCCACCACCCACCCATCCATTCATTGCTAAACCGTTACTGAGCACCTGCTGTGTGCCAACCCCATACTGGGCACTGGGGCACCGCACAGCCTCTGCTGTGACAGAACTCACAGGTGACCCTGTCCTTGATAAAAAACAGCCAAATGTCTAGTGGCCAGCTGCTTGGCCCAGTGACCCAGGGGAGAGAAATGCTGGCCAAGGGGCTTGCCCCTAGGCCCCGCTCTGTGGGCCACACATCGCACAGGGCTGGGGATCTGGGCTTCACATCCCAGGCTCAAATGCACACGGGAGACCCGAGTTTGATTCCCGGCCGGTGCACCTCATGCACGGCCACCACCTGTCTGTCGTTGGGGGCCTGCGTGTTGCTATGATGCAGAACAGGTTTCAGCGGAACTTCCAGACTAAGACAGACTAGGAAGAAAGGCCTGGCAATCTACTAAAAATCAGCCTATGGAAACCCCATGGATCACAAGGGTTCAAACTGCAACAGCTGATCGTGGGGATGGCGAAGGACGGGGCAGCATTTCGTTCCGCTGTTCACGGTGTTGCCATGGGTCGGGTCCGACAACAACCCCATCTAGTGGCTTTCTGGACCAGCCAGCCTTCGGGAGGCCTGCAGAGGGGTCTCCGAGCTGGGCCCTGTCCCAACTCCAGGACTCCCTGAGCTGGGGACACCAGGCCATGGCCAACCCTCCCACCTTGTCTGACCCACCCTGGAGCTGAGCCAGAGCCACAGAAATGTCTCTCCAAGATTCACCCTGACCTCCAGCATGGCCCCCTGAAGCCCACTCTCTGGGGTCAGTTTCCCCACCAGCACGTGAGAGGTTTAATGATTCTTCTTGGGGCGGGGGAGCGGGGATGGGGGAGGCTGGAAGGGCTGTGAGTGGACTGACCCCGCCTAATCCAGCTGGCAGGGGCCACCTGTCCCCTTGGCCTTGCACCCCCTCCCCTCGCCCCTAATCCGCCCCCTAAGCTGACGCAGCGTCTGGAGCCTCCTGCTAATTCACCCAAAGCCCCACGCACCTCACACCCCGATCCCTCCACGGCCTCTTAACCCGCAAGGTCCAATTAGCTAATTGGGGCTTGAGTGCCGAAGCGGCTCATTAGCGTTTTGAAGTGATGGAATAATTAGGGGCGTTATCTCCCCTGCACCCCATATGTCCGCTGGCTAACTCACTTCACAGGGCCCTGGCCGCAGAGCCCCGGCAAGCCCATCTTACAGAGTGGGGAGCTGAGGACGGGAGGGGCCCAGGCCCATGGAGCCCCTTGGAGCTCCAGCCGCATCTTCGGCCTGAGCTCAGGGGTCTCGGCCTCCCTAACCAGCTACCCCCAAGGATGCTAAGCCCCTTGGCCCACTGACTTCAGCCCTCCCAGCCATCAAGTTGACCTTGACTCATGGTGACCCCGTGTGTGTCAGAGTAGAACTGAGCTCTGTAGGGTTTTCAATCGCTGATTTTTCAGAAGTAGATCACCAGGCCTTTCTTCTGAGGCACCTCTGGGTGGATTCGATCCTCCAACCTTCCGGTCAGCGCCCGTTAACCATATGCACCACGAAGGGACTTCGCTTTTCTCTGTGTGAGCCTGTTTCTCTGCGTCTCTGCGTCTCTTTCTGGCTGTCTTTGTCTCTCTCTCCCTTCAAAGTCAACATTCTGGAAGGATCTATCTCTACTTCCTCACCTCACCCTTGCTCCCTAGCCCCTCTACTGCCCTTGGTCCCCAGCCTCGCTCCACCTGCGCAGCCCTCCCTCCCATCCTCAGTGTCCCTAAATCCAACAGCTGTTTTCTAGGCCTCACCTGGCCTGCTGCCCGAGCCTCCAAAGCCCCCTCTCCTCTCAGTTTTCAGGACCGCCCCCCTGCCTTAGCCCCCACCCTCTCTGCCCAGCTTCAGGTCCCCTGGACGCTCCCAAGCTCCTGCGACTGAGCAGGGCCAAGCCAGGCTCCATGTCTTCCCTTGGACCTGCTCCAGCTGTGGGACAATCCCACCATCCACCCATCCCCAAGGCAGAAGCCCCCCACCCCCAGGTCCGGTCCTTCCCAAACCCGAACCCCCTCTCCGTCCCCACGACCTCTGCCCTGGCCTCCAGCCTTTCTCGCTGGACACCGGCCGCTGCTGCCTCTCGGCCTCCCATCTTGCCCTCCCCAGCTCCACAACCCCCCTAGCTCCCCAGTACCCACCCGTCCACACCCAGTCGTGTCTGGAATTCACAGCCTTGGAACCCATCTCCCATCTGACCACCTTCCTTTTAAAGTAGCCACACACCGCACACACCCGCTTCTCTCCTCTCCTGCTGGAGCGTTTTCACTAGTCTTACGATCCTCTGACGCGCTCGACACCTTATGTATTTAGCGGCTGGTCGTCCATCTCCCCCACTAGAATGTCAGGGATTTTTGTCTGTTTTGTTAATCGCTGTGAACAGTACCTGGTACACAGAAAGTACTCAATACATGTTTGTAGGATGGATGAATAAGTACTGAAATAATAACGAAAGCTGGACAATGAATAAGGAAGACCAAAAAAGAATTGATGCCTTTGAATTATGGTGTTGGCTCATTGAGTCTCCGTGATGGCCCTACAAGGCAGGTCCTAGTGTTACTTTTACAGTCAGGGAAACTGAGGCCCAGAGAAGGGGAGGCCCTTGCCGGCTGAGCCAGGCCAACAGTCCCGGCCACCCTCTGAACCCCAGCCCTCTACCCGCCCTGGCCTGCCCTCCCTCGGCGGCTCAGGGCAGCCAGGGCCCGGGCAGGAGGGGCCGCTTCAATTAATCACCTCGCGCAAATCCTCCCCCCGCCTGGCCCCCACCCCCTGGGGTCCGGCAGGGCCAGGCTGGGAGCAGACTCGGCGCTGGGCCTGCCAGGGTGGGTGCCCCTTGGATCCCGGGCAGACGGTGGGGCTGTGCGGGCAGTGAGCGCTGGGCAGGTGGGCAAGGGCAGGCGTGGGGGGTGCAGAGGGCCCCCAGGGCGGAGGACTTAAGGGGTCGGAGGCGCCCTGTGGGGGTGGCGTCCCGGCTTCCTGCCTTCCTAGAGGGTCTTAGAGACAGAGAGAGAGAGATGTGGGGAAATGGAGGCGGGCACAGAGGGAGCGAGACTAGGGACGGGGAGACAGACAAGGAAGCAGAGAGAGACGGAGAATCCAAGAGGGAGAGACGGGGGCGGTAGAAGCAGGACGAAGCGGAGGGAACAGACTTGCCTAGAAGCTGTCTCCTCACCGTCTGGCCTGCTGCCCTCCTGCCAGGTGGGGGTGAGGAGGAGCCATGTTCCTGAGTCCAAGCGAGGGGCCCGTGGCAGAGGGCGGGGGGCCAGGGCCGGGTGAGGGGGCCCCCAAGAAGCAGCACCGGAGGAACCGCACGACTTTCACCACGTACCAGCTGCACCAGCTGGAGCGGGCATTCGAGGCCTCCCATTACCCGGACGCGCACAGCCGAGAGGAGCTGGCGGCCAAGGTGCACCTGCCTGAGGTGCGCGTGCAGGTGAGGGGGCCCCCGCTCCTCTGCCCCAGGCTGGGGAGGGTGGTGCATAGGCAGAAGGAGAAACTGGGAAGGCTTCCTGGAGGAGGGGATGAGGGATCTGAGGCCTTGACGTTTTAGTAGGAGTTTGCCAGATGGGAAGGAGAAAGGGTGTTGTTCTAGCATTTGCAAAGATGTCAAGGTGGAGGGGTTTCCATTGAGCTGGGGTGGGGGAGGCGGGGAGGAGGGGAGGCAGAGTATGTTGCTGATAGAAGAACTTGAAGGGCCTGGAATGCCGAGGCCAGCAGCTGGGGCTTTGTGCTGAGGAGCCTGGGGGGTCTGGACAGACAATGACAAGGAGGGACTAGATTCAGTAAAGATTTCAGGGATGATCTGATGCGGGCAAGACAGCCCTGGGGCCAAAGAACGCAGCATGTTAGCATTGCAGCACGTGGAAGTCAGGTTAGACTGCAGGCAGAACCGTGCAGCTAGGAGAGGTTGGGGTGGAGGGGAGGAGCCTTAGCGCCTCTCCCTGCTCCCCAGGTATGGTTCCAGAACCGCCGGGCCAAATGGCGCCGCCAGGAGCGTCTGGACTCAGGTTCAGGGGCTGTGACAGCCTCACGGCTCCCGGAGGTCCCAGCACTGCCCTTCGCCCGCCCTCCAGCCGTGCCGCTGCCCCTGGAACCCTGGCTGGGCCCAGGGCCCCCGGCGGTGCCAGGCCTCCCATGCCTCCTGGGCCCAGGCCCGGCCATGCAGGTGCCCTTTGGGCCACACGCCTTTGGTCCAGCCTTCGCCGACGATTTCACCCTAGAGGAGGCGTCCCTGAGGCTGCTGGCCAAGGAGCACGCACAAGTCCTGGATAGGGCCTGGCCCCCAGCCTGAGCCTGCTGCCTGCCTAGCCTTCCCCGTCCCTGGGGCCTGGGACCCCCTGACTGTGACCACGGCCAAGGTCACGGAGTGGCTCCGCCATCAGGCCGCAGTCACTGGGGAGCAAGACTTGTAGCGCAGGCTGCTGGGGGGCCCCTGCCCGTCCAGGCCTACCCACGCCCTGGCCCCCCACCACACCATCGCCTCCTCCCCCCGCCTTTCAGGAAGACTGATGCCTGTCACCCTGTCGCCCTGTCGGGGAAAGGAGGTGGCCAAAGGGTTGCAGCACTAGGGGGCAGGGCCCTGGCCTGGCCTGGCGGAGTCTGCTCTTCTCTTTTTTTAATTGTTGAGAATATACACAGCAGAACATACACCAATTCAAGTTTCTCCAAGTACATTTCAGTGACATTAATTATATTCCTCAAGCTGTGCGACCATTCTCACCCTCCTTCTCTGAGTTGTTCCTCTGCCATTAACATAAACTCACCGCCCCCTAAGCTTCCTATCTAACCTTGTGAGTGGGCGTCAATTTGCTCCCATATAGATAAGTTCTTCAAAGAGCACAATGTGCAAGGCAGACATTTTTTACTAGTTAAGCTAAACTGTTGTTTGATGTAAAGACTTCAGGGGATATTTTTGGTTTCAGGTTTAAAGATTATTTTAGAGTAGTAGTTTTGGGGGTTCATCCAGCCTCAATGGCTCCAGAAAGTCTAGATTCTATGCAAATTTGCCATTCTGTTCTAAATTTTCTCCCCTTTTGATCAAGATTTTTCTCTAGAATCATTGATCAAAGTGTTCAGTAATGACAGCCGGGCACAATCCAGTTCTTCTGGTCTCAAGGCAAAGGAGGCATTTGATCACAGAAGCAGTTAGTCATGATCTCTGCCCCTCTTGGGGCCTCAGTCTCCCCCCTGTCAAATGGGTGTGGGTGGGTTGGATTTTGAGATTCTTGGACTGGAAGGCTGGAACCAGGAGCCACTGGGAGGCTAATTCTGGGAGCTGATGGTTCCAAATCCCTCCGCCTATTCCTATCTCCCTCTCCCCAGCAGAGCCACCTGGACTCACTCACGCAGCCCCCTCCCCCAGAAACCACTTCGGCAGCAGCTCCCTGTTGTGCGGCTTCCTCCCCCGTGTGCTCACTGCAGGCCAACCCAGGGCCCATCACTATGCCCCCTAGAAAGCCCTGGGAGGTGGGCATGGCTACTAGCCCCCTCTTACAGAGGGGTAAACTGAGGCCCGGAGACGGGAAGCCTGTTTCCTGAGCCCGCGGTTGGTGGCAGGGGAGCTCTTTTTCAAACTCCTTGCTTGGTTCTGTGACTTGAGGCGCCAGGCTGGGTCCCTCCTGGCGTGGGAAGCTGGGGACCCAGGCGGGGGCACTACTGGGAGACTCTCAGGCAGGGCAGGCTGGCATGGGGGAATAGTGTCTATTGGCACTACCTCTGTGTATCAAGGGGTTGCCATGTCCCCAGCGGCCCCTGGCCCCTTGGATGTCTCCCAGCCCAGTGAGGGTGGTGATGGGGCCTGGAGGCAAGGTCTGACCCAGCCCTGGCTCCCGGGGCCCTCAGGGTGTAACAATGGCTGCCCTTGCAGGGTGGAGCTGGGCTCCAGGATGAGGAGGTTGCAGTGTGGAAGGAACGAGTGTGACTCATGCCTGTGGCTGCCCCAGTGCCAGCACAGGGCACACCGCCCCACAGCACAGGGCAGCCTGGGCCAGGGCGTCCACCCTCACTGAGGGCAGGAGCAGAGGTATGCCCAGGGAACATCCTCCGGAGGCCCTTCTGGGCGACCGCACTCAGGTGCACCTCCCAGGTCCTCCCATGCAGACTGCCCACCCACTGGGGCTCACACCCGTGCACTTATTTCCATTCTCAGGCCCACATCCTGTTTACACCTGAACCTCACACCTGTGTTTGCCACCACCCCCCACCCCCGCCACACAAAGCTGCCCAACTGCAGGGGAGCAGTCTCTGTAAATGGTACCCCTAGAGCAGTGAGGCCAACCCAGCAATTCATTCATCTACCCCTGCAGCCACCTACTTGTCCATCTTCCCATCCATCAGTTCATCCATCCACTCATCCACCCCGTCACTCATCTATCCATCCACTTACCCAACCACCCATCCACCCACCAACCCACTCATCCACCCTCCTATTTTCCTTCCACCCATCTATCCATCATCCACCCACCCACCCATCCACTCATCTATCCATCATCCATCCAATCACTCATCCACCACCCACACACCCATCTATCCATCATCCACCCACCCACCCATCCATCCACTCATCTATCCATTTATCACCCATCCATCCACTCATCCACCACCCACACACCCACCCATCCATCCACCCACCCATCCATCCATCCATCATCCATTTCTGAGTGCACACTATGGGCCAGGTACTGGAGATGTAGCAGTGAACAAGATAGGCAAAATTCCCTCCCTTATGGAGCTGACATTCCAGCAGAAAAGACAAGAAACAAGGTAATAATGTCAAAACATAAAAGGTCAGAGGCAGTAAATGCCGGGAAGAAAAAAAAAGCTGGGAAGGGCGACTGGGAATGTGTGGCAGCAACTGTAGTTTAGTAAGTGGTCAGGGGAGGCCTCAGTGAGGACATGAGTGTTTCAGCAGAGAGCTGGAAGAGGGGTGGTGGGAGGAGCCATGGGGGTATCTGGGGAAGAGCCTTCCAGGCAGAGGGAACAGCCCGTGCAAAGGCCCTGGGGCAGGATGTGCCTGGTGAGTTGGAAGAAGGCCCATGTGGCTGCAGCGGAGCGAGCCAGGGGGCAAAAGGAGGAGGGGAGGGCAGGGAGGGGACAGCGCAGGTCCTGCAGGGCCTTGTGGGCCTATAGGGAGTTGGTTTTGACCTTGGGGCCGTGGGGAGCCTGCGCGTGGTCAAATGCACAAATACTGCTCGTTCACTCCCTTCAGTCTGTCAGTGTGTTCTACTGCGGTGGCTTGCGTGTTGCTGTGATGCTGGAAGCTATGCCACCAGTATTTCAAATACCAGCAGGGTCACCCATGGTGGTCAGGTTTCAGCTGAGCTTCCAGACTAAGACAGACTAGGAAGAAAGACCTGGTGGTCTACTTCTGAAAACATTAGCCTGTGAAAACCTTATGAATAGCAGTGGAACACTGTCTGATTAGAAGGAACAAGTCTGTCTTGAAAAAAGTACAATCAGAACGCTCCTTAGAAGCAAGGACGGCGAGACTTCGTCTCACATACTTTGGACATGTCATCAGGAGGGAGCAGTCTCTGGAGAAGGACATCATGCTTGGTAAAGGAGAGGGTCAGCGAAAAAGAGGAAGACCCTCAAGGAAATGGATTGACACGGGCTGCGACAACGGGCTCAACTGTGAGGATGGTGCAGGGCCAGGCAGGGTTTCGTTCTGTGGACACAGGGTCACTGTGAGTCAGAGCTGACTCAGCACCACCTAGTAACACCACTCCCTTCACCGGCTGGGCGGGCAGCGGCACGCGACCCCCTCGGCCAATCCCCCAAGCAGACGAGGTTCCTGGGAGGGGGCGGAATTGCCTAGAAGCCCCAGCCCGAAGAGAGAGGAACGGGCAGGGTGGGGGGCCTGGCCCAAAGCCCCCTGTGGGGCTGGATGGTGACTGTGCTCTGCTCCCACCTCCAGCCAGAGCCCTCGGTCACCAAGGGGTCTCCAAACCCATCCCCTCTTCCCTGGGCTTGGCTTTCTCTGCAGAAGCCCAGTCAAATGCTGGGGTGGAGGTCGGGGGCCGGGAACCTTCCGTGTGGGATGCCCCCCTCCCTGCATGCCAGAGACCAGACAACACCCAGTGGCATCCTGGCCTGGCCACAGGGACCCCAAGGTCTTTATTGGCCCCCAAGGCCCTGGTCCAGCCTCACTGGGAGTAGTGGGCAGGCAAGGGGGCCGCCTCTGCTGTGGAAAAAGTCTCTTTTCTGCAGGAAAATGAAAAGTCCTCTCGGGGGGCAGAGCAGGGGTGACGCCGCCCTTCCCAGGTCCTCCCGCGTGGGGTGCCTGGCCCTTCTGTGGGGAGAGGGTCGGGATGATGCTGGCCCCTCCAGGGTGGGTTGCTCGGCCCTCCGTGGGGGCAGGGTGGGGGCGACGCCGGCCCTCCGGGGGCCTCGGGGTGGGGTGCCCCCCCCGCTAGAACTTCTTGTTCCTGCTCAGCCGGTTGTGGCGCCAGATATTGTGTTTCCTCAGCAGCCGCCAGTACTCCCGGGTCTCAGGGTCCAGCTCCTCCAGCTTCTTGGGGGGGCCCACGTTCATCTGGAACAGCCTGACAGAGCAGGGGTGGGAATCAGGACACCCCCACCTCCCGCAGGCCCCTTGGGCAGAGCCATCAGCGGGGCTGGGTCCCACTAGGTGGCTGCGGTGGTCCCTCCCCCTGGCTGAGCTGGGGAGTAAGGGAGTGGACCCCATCCCCATGAGGCTGTCCATCCCAGAAGGCCTGCCTCCCTGGCCCTTGTCCTGCTCTGCCATCTACCTGTAATGTTCTCCCCACCCACCTGGCTCAATCTTCCAGAACCTTCCCCGGCTTGAAGGATCAGCACGTGTCAGAGGCTTCTGCACCCTGCCGCTGGTCTCGGGATGACGAGCAAAGTCTCCCTGCAGTTCGCCCAACCCTGTGTGGTCTGGGCCCCATCTCCCCTCCTCCAGCAATGCTGGGCTCCTTGCTGTTCCTCCAACTCACCAAGCAGAGTCTCGCCTCAAGGCCTTTGCACCGACTGTGCCCTCTGCCTGCAAGCCCTGTCCACCCACTGGGGTCTGGGCTCTCACGTTACCTCCCCGGGAAAGCTCTCCCCTAAACCTCAGACTCATCGGCCAAGTCCCCCCTTCCACCCGCCAGTCACTCCCTCCCCCGGCTCCCTCTGGCTTCCTGGGAGCAATATCGGTGTATTCGCCTAATTATTTGCTTACTGCCTGCCTCCCGGGGGCAGCGTTGCTGTTTTGTGCCCTGTGGCATCCCCAGTGCTGAGAACAAAGCCTGGTACACAGTCAGCGCTTAATAAATGTCTGTTAAAGGAAAACAGGCATGGCCTTCAGCACATCACATGTGCTGTGAGCTCATGCACTACCCACAACCCGCTGAGGGCGGTATGGGCGTCACCACCCCCGGGTACAGGCGGGGCAACCAAGATGCGGGACGGTGAGCGTCACCACCAGGCTCCACCGCCTCCCCTGGAAGGCGCTGCTGACCGCCTCCTGGAAGCGTGAGGGGGCGGCTGGCGGGAAAGGACAGGCCCACTCACCACTCGGGGTACTCGGCGTCCGCCTTCAGGACCACATCCTGGCCCTCCTTGTAAATGTTAACACCCATGGCGTGCGTGGTGAGCCGAACGGGGTCTGTGCACACATCCGGGTCCTTCAGAGCCTCACTGACCACGCCGCCTTTGCCGCCCTTCATGACTGAGGGGTAGGGGAAGAAGGGGTTCAGCCCAGCCCCGCCCTGGCACCCCTGGAGGCCAGCCTTTCCTTCCCTCCTCGCATGGCCTCGGGCCCTGGCTGGCCTCTTTTATTCCTGCGCTCAAAATAAGTATTAAATAACACGAGCAAACGAAGAAAAAATAGCACTAGAGCTCAGAGTGACCAAGTCATTCCCTTTTAAGTTTCATTTTACTCCTTCTGCTTATCCCACTGAGAGTTTCCGTTGGCTACTATACATCTTTAACGGCTAACATTTACCAGTGTCCCCCTTTCAACAGAGGAGATCAGGCACGGCTGTATCCAGCTAAAATTCAATAATCTTGTTTTGCTTAAATGGCTAATATCTAAGCAAGTCTCGTCTCGTTCTTGAATTTCCGGTGATGGTTTGCCCAAGGTCACATAGCAATTTGGAAGCAGAAACTAGACTGGAACGCAAGTTTATGGGTTCCCCTTTCTCTCCTACAAAAACGCATCCTGCCAACCCGAGCCTGCGCAGTGAAACGCACTTGCTCTCCGTTCCCCCCACCCTTGTCACAGGCCGCAAGGCTTCAGGCTGGCGCCTGCGCACTAACAAAAAAAAAAAAAAGTATACAGGCGTGCGCCTGCGCACTGCGTCCAATTGCTCTCTGAGGCAGCTACCACACAGGCGCCTGCGCTCTAAGCGGCACTAGGTCTCTCAAACTGCGCCTGCGCTGAAACCTACCAGCTGCCTCTCTACGTTTGCTCATTGACCCTAGGAAACACGCTCTCCATCTGGCGCCTGCGCACTACCAGCTCCCCATGTAACCACTGTCTCCATCTTAGTCCCCCTTAACCTAGCTTACCCGGTTTCTTGGCATAATCTCGGACCAGGACCATTACGGGTGCAAGGGAGTCCGGGAGCTCCCGGGTCCGCCAGTTGGCCCAGGCCCGGGTAGCCCCAAATAGACGTCTGGCCGCCATAACATACGCCGCCTGCTTGCACGTGCACGCCTCCAGGAGACGTCAGCAGCCCAGGGGGTGCTTGGGAGTTGTAGGCTCTTAGAGATTTCTGGGAAATGTAGTATTCCTAAATTTACGTACCTATTTATTGGAATTTATTCAAACCTTTTTAGATATCCTCAGTTTCTTTATGAGGAGACTTTCAGCGTATATTTCCTTGACTTCTTGCCTCTTTGATTACTTATTTAATTCAAATAATTTAAAGGCCGAACCAAAAAACCCAACCCATTGCCGTCAAGTCCATTCTGACTCATAGCCACCCTATAGGACAGAGTAGAACTGCCCCACGGGGTTTCTAAAGAGCAGTTGGTAGATTTGAACTGCTAACCTTTTGGTTTGCAGCCGTAGCTCTTAACCACTGCGCCACCACACTTTGCATATTCTTGCTTCTCTTCAATGAGCCTAAAATATATAAAACTCTTGGTAGACTATTCCTGTATTCCAGCCCTATTGCTAAATCCTCAACCTGCTTGACCTCGTTCGAGCCTCACAATTAGGAAGAAGGCGTTATTATTACCTCAGCTTATAACTGAGGAAACTGAGGCTCAAGGAAGCAAAGCCACCCCAGGCCAAGCCGGCCAGCGGCTAAGGGAGGCCGATCCCAAGTCCGGGGGCACCCTGCTGCCTCCCTATTGGTTGCCAAGGCGGAAGTCCTGTTTCAACAGGGTCCCCGCGCTGGTTCCGGTGTTCCTGGAGTCCAAAGAGACTGCCTGTTTCTCCTCTTCAGAATTATGTAGCTCCGTTTCTCCCTATCTGCCATCCCTTGGAATAATGACCACAGCCATAGGAGGCAGGCAGCGGTTATAAGCCCTATTTTGTAGTTGAGGAAACAGGCCCAGAGGCCAGCTCTGGCTCTCGCGCTGCCTGAATAGAGAGGCTTAGCTTCGGCCCCGAGCCTTCCCGCAACCCTAGCGCCCTCACGCGGCCAGGCTCTCCGGGATAACTACATTTCCCAGCAGACCCCGCGAGAGTGCGCATGCCCAGTGAGTCAGGAGCGCTACGCGGACAGGTCAGCCGGCGCCTTGGACCGGATTCGGCAAGCGGCCGGGGGTTTGGGGGGCGACCCTCAGTTGGAGAAGTAAGTATCACCACACGCAGGCCGGCGCTTGAGATCAGGTGTCTGAAGTTTTGAGTCTGAGGACTGGGGCGGTCGTAACTCTTAGCTTTAGACGTGAGTTCAGGCTTGAGGCTGGATTCTGGGGTCCGGGTCTGGGATCGCGTTTGAGTCTGGGGTCGGGTCTTGAGTGTGACATTGGAGGTTTTGAGACTAGGCTGTGCTTTGTGGCGTTTTGGGCTTCTCGTATTAAGTCTGAGGTCTTGGAATAAGGTTTGGGGTTTTGGGTATTAGGTTTGGGGTTATGGAACGGGAGGTTTGAGCCTAGGGTCTCCGGTATCTGCACGTGACAGGGGTCTGGGTCTCGAGCATGAGTTCCACGACTTGGGGGAGGGGGCATCGAAAGACGCGGAAGGAGCAAGGCTGGGAGGGGGCGAGGTCTAGGGGAATACCCTGGGGTTTGGAGCCTCCCAGCCATTGCCCAACAACTGCCCATTCTGAGCCTCAGTTTCCTCATCTGTGAAATGGGTATCGTAACAAACCTTTCCTTGCAGGGTATGTAGGATTTAAATTAGGTGATGTGTGAGCCTGGCACCAGGTGGTTGTTATTGGGTGCCATCGAGTCAATTTTCGACCCATAGCAACCACATGTGACAGAGTAGAACTGCCCTTAAGAGTTTTCATGGCTGTAATCTTTACAGAAGCAGATCACCAAATCTTTCTCTTGCGGAGCCGCTAGGTGGGTTTGAACTACCAACCTTTCGGTTAGCAGCCAAGTGCCTAACCATTGTGCCACCAGGGCCCCTTTGGCACCAGGTTGGCGCCCAGGACGTTTCATCTTTGAATCTCTCTCTTCCAGCTGTGGGAGAATGCCGGCCTGAGCCTGGGGTCCAGGCATGGAATTCTTGACAATCCCCCCAACCCCTCCGGGGCCTCCAGCCATGGACTTGGAGGAGCCCAGGGATACGCTTGCGCCCTCTCAGGACCTCGCCCCTGTCTGCCCGTGGGACCCGGTCCTGGGAGCCCCCAGCGGTCTGAATCCGATGGATTTTGACGGGTCAGGAGTCCAGGACCTGGTGCAACGGTTTGAGGCTCTGCCGGGTGATCTGGGGGGTCTGTTTTCAGAGGGAGCCCCCTGCCCCCTGCACATCGCCACTGGCCACGGCCTCCCCCCGCAGGACATCGCCGACGCCCACGGGCTCCTGTCCGCTGAGGCCGAACGTGGTGACTTGCTTAGCCTTTTGTGCCGTGATGAGTGCCTGCCATCCCAGCCTTGTCCCCAGGGGTCTCCGGAGCCTGCTCCTCGCCTGCTGCAGCCCCCGGACGACCCAGACGAGGACACGAGCCTTCCAGAATGGGCAGAGGGAGCCTCTGCCGGGCAGGACGGCAGCAGGAGCTCAGACAGCTCTCCAGAGCCCTGGCTGGAGACCGTGCCTCTGGTTCGGCCAGAAGAGCCACCTGCCACCGCCCAGGTAGTGCCTGCCCCTCCCCTCGGCTGCCGGAGTCAGACGGTGGACTCAGACCTGCCCCTCTTCTATCTCCTTCCAGTGTCCCAAGACCCTGGCTTCATACCCTGCCCGCCAGGAGGGTGAGTGCCCCGCCTTCCCTGGCACCTGGGGATTTAAGGGTTCCAGAACAACCCCTCCCAAAATCTGGCACAAAGTTTGCGGGGATGGAGAAGGTTCTAGAGAGGATGTGAGGTTGGTTTTGAATAGATTCCAGATGGCCTGGGAGAGGAGAGACAGCCTTTAGAGTGTTAAATGAGTAGAGGATGATACAGTGGCAGCTTGACGTTTTGTAGCGCTCAGGGTTCTGGGTAACCCGTTGCCAAGCCACTTGCCTTCGAGTCGGTTCTGACTCATGGCAGCCCTATAGGACAGAGTAGAACTGCCTTGTAGGGTTTCCAAGGAGCAGCTGGTGGATTCAAACTGCCAACCTTTTGGTTAGCAGCCTGAGCTCTGAACCATTGCACCACCAGGGCTCCTGTTCTAGAGCAGGGGTTGGCAAATTATGGTCTGCAGGCCAGATTCGGCCCATTGCCTCTTTCTGTATGTTTTGTGAGCTAAGAATGACTTTTGCATTTTCAAATTGTTAGGGGGAAAACCAGAAGAATATTTTGTGATGCGTGGAAACTTTAGTGTCTGTAAATAAAGTTTTATTGGTACGTGGTCATGCCCATTCACTTAAATGTTGGCTGTGGCTGCTTTTGTATTACAGTGGCAGAGTTGACTAGTTGCAACAGAACTGTCTGGCCCACAAAGCTGAAAAGATTTAGTGTCTGGCTGTTTACAGAAAAAATTTGCCAACCCTTGCCCTAGAGACATGGGAAGAACCAGTTCTGGCCTTCTAGAATGCTCTAGAGTTTTCCCAAGCTGCCTGAGGCTCTAAGTCAAAGAGCAGGTTTGCAGGTTGTGGGGAGGGGAGCTGGTTTGGACCTGTAGCTCCAAGAAGGTTCTGGAATCATGTGTTACGCTATCTGTGACTCACAGATAGTCCAGAACTTGCTACTTTGCCTGGGCTTCTAGATAAAAGGAAAGTGGATGGATGAGAGTGTTCTGGAGCTGTCTGGTTCTACTTAGGCTGGAAAGTTCTAGAACCATGGAGAGAATAGAGTTTGTCGGGGTTCAGACCAGTAAGGGGTGCTCTACAACTATGGATGGAACAAACAAAAGTTGCCGTCGAGTCAGCTCTGACTCATGGCAACCCTGTGTGTTGCAGAGTAGAACTGTGCTCCATAGGTTTTCAGTGGCTGATTTTTTTAGAAATAGATTGCCAGGGCTTTCTTTCCAGATGTCTGAGGATGGGTTTGAACTGCCACCCTTCAGGTTAGCACAGAGCGTGCGTCTAGAACTATGGACAGAACTGTCTGATTCTAGCATAATCAGAAAGTTCTAGAGCAGTGCTGTACAGCATGCAATAGAAATATAATGTGAGCCGTGTGTGATCTTAAATTTTCTAGTTAGCCAAATTTAAAAAGTAACAAATAATATAAATTTTTGTGCTTTATTTAAATTATCCAGTATGCCTAAGGTAATCTCATTTTTTCTTTTTTAGGTTTTATTATTTTTGTTTTAATTGTACTTCAGGTGAAGGTTTACAGAACAAATAGTTTCTCATGAAACAGTAGTACACATATTGTTTTATGACATTGGTTAACAACCCCACGACCTGTTAACCCTCTCCCTTCTTGACCTTTTTTTTTTTTTTGGTGAAAATATACATAGCCAAAGACACACCATTTCAAAAATTTCTATATGCACAGTTCAGAGACATCGACTACACTCTTCCAGTTGTGCTGCTATTCTCACTTTAGATGAAGGTTTACAGAACAAAATAGTTTCTCATTAAATAGTACACATGTTGCCCTATGACAATGGTTAACAACCCCATTACACATCAACACTGTCCTCATTCAGTCTTGGGTTCCCTATCACCAGCTTTCCTGTCCCCTTCTGGCTTCTAGTCCTTGTCCCTGGACTGCTGTGCTTCATTAGTCCCGTTTTGTTTTATGGGGCTGTCCAGTCCCCGGCTGAACAGTGAACCTCTTCACCACTGAGCTAAAAAGGTGTCTGGGGGCCATACTCTCGGGGTTTCTCCAGTCTCCTTTAGGCCAGTAAATCTGGTCTTTTTTTGTGTGAGTTAGAATTTTGTTCTACATCCTTCTCCAGCTCTGTCCAGGACCCTCTGTTGTGATCCCTGTCAGAGCAGTCAGTGGTGGTAGCCGGGCACCATCTAGCTGTACTGGACTCAGTCTGGTGGAGGCCTTGGTAGCTGTGGTCCATTAGTTCTTTGGACTAATCTTTTCCTTGTATCCTGTTCTCTTCATTCTCCCTTGCTCCCGAAGAAGTAAGACCAGTGGAGTATCTCAGATGGCTGCTCATAGGCTTTTAAGACCCTAGACGCTACTCACCAAGGTAGAATGTAGACCATTGTCTTTATAAACTGTTATGCCAATTGAGCTAAATGTTCCCTGAGACCATGATCCCCACAGCCCTCCACCTAGCAATTCAGTCCCTCAGGGAGTTTGGATGTGTCTATGGAGCTTCCATGACCTTTCCTTGTACAGGTTGTGCAGGTTTCCCCAGTATATGATAATCTCATTTTAACATGTAATCAATATTTTAAAATATTGAGATAGTTTATTTTCTCACTCTAAATCTTCAAAACCCGATGTGTATTTTACACTTAAAGCACGTTTCTTTTAGACCGACCCTATTTCATATGCACAGTAGCCGTACATGGCTGGTGGCCACCATATTGGTGAGCACAATCCTAGAACCCCAGAGTGGAACCGTTGATGGTTCTGGAATGATTAGATCATGGAGGGCAGTGGGCAGAGCTGACAGCGGTTTGAATTCACTGAGGGCTGTCCAGAGCTGGGGCCTATACCTGTGATTCTAAACCAAGGAGTAATTACTGATTAGAACACTTTAGAACTACTGGCAGAGCTGTCTAGTTCTAGATTACTGGAAGAATTCTAGAGCCACAGGGTGAAATTTGTATGGTTCTTGGCTGGGCTGGGGATTCTAGAACCATGATCACAGCTGATTTTCTGCCGTATTCTGGTAATTCTGAGAATGACAGGGTGCAGCTGAGGCTGTGGGCTATTTGAGGGGAAGCTCTATCTGACGCTGTTGTGATTGAGCAGTTCTAGAACCATAGCGTGGCCACACCTGGGGTTCTGGAGTGGTAAGGGTTTCTAGAACCCTTGACAAGAGTTCTGTCAGGGAATTCTGGAATCATAAGGAGGAGTCCTCTGGAGTTCTGGACAGTATGGAAGTTTTAGATATGAGGATACTTGTTTCTGTTCTGATCGGGCAGTTTCAAAACCGTAGAGTCAAGTTGCCTATGGTCCTGGGGAGAATTCTGGAACATGGGATGCAGTTGTCTGGCTGTGGAGGAATTCCAGAACCATCCAGTGGGATTGACTGTGGTTCTAGAATGTGGCTGTCAGAAGTAGGAGCAGAGCCGTCTGGTTCTAGCGTGGTCACAGAGTTCTAGAAACACGGTGGAGTAGGAGATCTGTGGTCTGGATGCACAGACCTTCTAGAACGGGGCACTCTGCCTGGGAGTCCCTGGTCCGTGGGCAGAGCTGGCTGTAGCCTCACTAGATCTATGAGGGTAGAGCTGCTCGTCGGTGGCTCCGGCTGACGGAACGGTTCTGGGACAGTGAGCATTACTGTGTGGCTCTAGAAGTCTGTATGCTTCTAGACTCCTCAGGGGACCAAGACATCAGCAGGGTGGACAGGCTTGGCCGGGGACTCCCACGGGCTGACCCCACTTGCACTGTTGCCCCCAGTACCCGGTCCCTGTGACCACGAAGACCTCCTAGATGGTGTCATATTTGGGGCCAAGTACTTGGGCTCCACTCAGCTGGTGTCCGAGCGGAACCCACCCCCCAGCACACGCATGGCCCAGGCCCAGGAGGCAATGGATCGCGTCAAGGTGAAGCCAGGGCTGGGTGGACGGGGTTGTGGGGGACCTGCGGGTGGCTGGGGGGCGCAGGCAGGTCCTGAGCGGGGTCTCCAGCAGCCTCCACCTCCCACCCCACCGCCCACAGGCCCCCGCCGGGGAGACGCAGCCCATGACAGAAGTGGATCTCTTCATCTCCACTAAGCGGATCAAGGTTCTGACAGCCGACACCCAGGTACGGGGCCAGAGGCTGGCGTCGGGTGTGGGGGGCCCAAATGAGGATGAGGCCCCACAGCCCACCCAGCCCAGTCTTCCCCGCCCCAGGAGGCCATGATGGACCATGCCCTGCAGACCATCTCCTACATCGCCGACATCGGCAGCATGCTGGTGCTCATGGCCCGGCGGCGCGTGGCCCGGCGGCCGACACCCCATGACCACAGCCGCCGACTCTGCAAAATGATCTGCCACGTCTTCCACTCTGAGGATGTGAGCAGCCTGGGTGGGCATCCTGGGGAGGGAGCTGGCCCCAAGTCCTCCAAAGCCCCCCCCCGGCTGCCACCGTCACGCGCCTGCCTTTCCATAACCGCTTGGAGTGATAGCCATCTCCCTAAACCTTTCCATGACCTTCTGGGCCGTACATTGTCACCCTGTCCGTGAGCTCCTGGGCCACATATTCTCACCCTGTCCGTGAGCCCCTGGGCCACATATTCTCACCCTTCCCATAAGCCTCTGGGCCACATATTCTCACGCTTCCCATAAGCCTTTGAGACTGGCAGACCAGTCCGCTGGACCTTCCCCAAGGCCCTGGGGCTGTCTTTCTTGGCTTCCCGTCAAGCCCCAGGGCCACAGCCGTCTGTTTGCCAGTTTCTCCCAGAAGTCTTTGCTGCAGGGAGCTGTCTCCCATCTTTCCCATTCGCCCCAGGGCTGCCTCCCCTTCCTGCCTCCTTGGCTTCTTTCCGCTGGAGGCTGGCCCCTGGGAATCTTGTCTTGGGGGTGTCAGAGGACGTGGGGGCCTGAAGGAGGCCTGCCGCTCTTCCCCGCAGGCCCAGCTCATCGCGCAGGCCATTGGGCAGGCTTTTGCCGTGGCCTACAGCCAGTTCCTGCAGGAGAGCGGCATCGACCCCAGCCAGGTGGACGCTCGGCAGAGCCAGGGGGCTGAGGGGCCCGGCCACCTCCACAACGGGGACCTCGCCCACTTCTCCAACAGCGAGAACTGCCGGGAGGTGCGTGGGGCCGGGTTGCTGTCCCCTCCTCCCACGCACACGCCCGGGCACAGCCCGCGGAGCCACCGTCACGCCCACCCCGTCTTCTCCTGCCAGGTGCGCATCGAGAAGCGCCGGGGAGAGGGCCTGGGCGTGGCCCTGGTGGAGTCGGGATGGGGCTCCCTGCTGCCCACGGCCGTCATCGCCAACCTGCAGCACGGGGGCCCCGCCGAGCGCTCGGGGGCGCTCAGCATCGGGGACCGCCTCACCGCTATCAACGGAGCCAGCCTGGTGGGGCTGCCCCTGCCTGCCTGCCAGGCCGCCGTCCGCGTGAGTCCTCCCTGGACAGGGGACCTGGAGACCGAGAGAAGGTCCTCCCCTGACCAGGACTCTCTGGGCCAGTCCAGTACCCTTCCCATAAGGGCCTGGGCCACATGTTCTCACCCTTCCCATAAGCCCCTGGGCCACAAGTTCTCACCCTTCCCTTAAGCCGCTGGGCCACAAGTTCTCACCCTTCCAGTAAGCCCATGGGCCACAAGTTCTCACCCTTCCCGTAAGACCCTGGGCCGTATACTATATTCTAATCCTTTTCTTAAGCCTCTGGTCCATATATTCTTAACCTTCCCATAAACCGTCTGGCCGCATACTATATTGTGACCCTTCTCACAAGCCCCTGGGCCATGTATTCTGATCCCACTGTGCACTTAGGGAAACTGAGGCTTGGGTAGAAGTCCCTCGTCCAGGGTTATCTTGCTCACAACACAGCCGCGATTGAAATGCCAACAGCGACTTTTCCTCTCTGCTCAGCAGATGGATTCGCTTTCAGGCCTTAACCCTTGTGACCCAGATGGGGAAATTGAGGCCCAGAGACAGGGAGGGACATGTTCCGCGCAGCATCGTACAGAATATTCTCATCCCTGGGGCGGGGGGTACTGCTATAAACCCGCCTTTACTCACAGAAACAGATCCACCAAGGTTAAAGGTTACACAGCCTCGAACCCAAGGTCACCTGGCTCCAGAGCCTGCCCCTCACCACTTCTCAAGGGGTCTTCTAGAATCTAGACCCCGGACTCCAACCCTCTACTTGATTTGGGGAGGGTGGGTAAAGTGAGGTGCAGGGGGCCAACCCCTAGGTGTCTGGGCCGGGTGGAGTGGCTGTGCCTGACCCAGCCCCGTCCTGTAGGAGGTGAGGCCGCAGACGTCCGTGACCCTCAGCATCGTCCACTGTCCCCCGGTCACCACCGCCATCATCCACCGGCCCCATGCCCGCGAGCAGCTGGGCTTCTGCGTGGAGGACGGCATCGTGAGGCCCGTCCCAGGGTGCCGGGTGGGGGATGGGTGACCCCAAGTGCAGCCCCTGAGCAGCGCCCCCTCCCCTCCCCCCAGATCTGCAGCCTCCTCCGCGGGGGCATCGCCGAGCGCGGGGGTGTCCGCGTGGGACACCGCATCATTGAGATCAACGGGCAGAGTGTGGTGGCTACGCCGCACGCCCGCATCATCGAGCTGCTCACTGAGGCCCACAGCGAGGTCCGTGGAGGCTGGGGGGCAGGCGGCGCCCTCGCGTACACCCCAGGCCAGCCCTGAACCACCCTCTCCTCTCCCCACCCAGGTCCACATCAAGACGATGCCGGCCGCCACCTACCGCCTGCTCACCGGCCAGGAGCAGCCTGTGTACCTGTGACCCCCACTGCGTCCCTCACCCCACCGCTGTGCCTTAGCCCTGCCAGCCCCAAGCGCTGCCTCCGTGGCCCCCAATGGCCAGCCAGGGCCCCACAGGATTCTCAGCCCACGATTGTTTCCTATGTAAAAAATTAAAAGTTTACCCACTGAGCAAAGTCTCGGACTGGGATCAGTGGGGCTGAGCAAGGAAAGACGAGGCTGGACCCTCTGGCTCCCTTGTCCTCCGTCCTGCTCCCTTGTCGTTCTTGAAAGCCACTAGAAGCCAGTGTTGTGAAAATACTTCGTTTATTAAGACCAGGTTGAGGGAGGTGGATTCTAGGTTCTGTATAGGAAAACTGGGTCCCAGCTCCCAGGAGGAAGAGGGAGGACGGGCCAGCCAGCAGCCTGGAGGCCTCACAGGTCTGTGGCCGGGCCCCAGTCATAACCGTCTTCGTCAGAGGATTCCATGTCTCGGGCTCGTGTAAACTTTTTCTTCAGGGCCTCCCGCTCGTATGTTCTGAGAATTGGGAAATGGAGTAGAGGCTACTTCAGGGAGAAGGTGTGAGACTTAGGTACCATTAACTGAGGCGGACTCTGTGCCGGGCACAGTGGGTGTGGGCAGAGATGAGTAAGACTGGGTGGGCATTCAGGGGCAGGACCTTGTTGGCGAACTGCTATGCACCCTTCAAAACCCCAGCTCCAATGTCCTCTCCTTCAGAAAGCCTTCCCAATCCTCCCAGGAAGAGGATTCCTACTCACTTGGCTCTGACCACACAGGGCTGAGAATGGCTCTGTCTGGTCCTCACCCCCTAGGCTAGGTGCACCGGGAAGGTATAACGTAGATCTAGGTCTCTTTACCCCACAATGTCTGGGGAAATGGGTTGAGGGGCCCCAGTCTGGAGTAGCTGGCTCTTACCGCATGCTGTCCTGTCGCCACTGACCCTTGGAGTGCCAGCTGTCCACCTTTGGGGAGAGGGAGTCGGGGTTAACACTTCCCCCCAGAGCACGATAGATGGAGATGAACCACCACCCCCATTCTCCCTCCCCCACCTTTGCCCGGATAGTGCTACCCAGACTTCTGCCCCCCTCCTCCAAGTCTCCAGCTCGTCCCGAATTTTAAATGAGGAGACTAAGGTTGGGATGAGAGATGGCCTCGCCTCGGGTCTCCTGGCCTGTCACCAAAGGGAGGATTGGGTTTCTTATCTGGAAAAGTCCTCGGGACACTGTTGTAACGAATTCATGACTGAGTTCCTGTATAAAGTGCTTAGAGCAGCACCTGCTCCATAAGGAGGCGGATGGTTGAGCAGGTCGGGCACTGCATAGCCCCAAGGACAGAAGTGCATAGATTTGTATATTTATGACATTTTCCTAGGGCGAGTAGGAAAGGTCTGGAGGAAGGGGCAGCCTCTAATTCACAGAGGGGCTCGGGGCTGGGGCACCCTGCATGTTGCCATTAGCTGCTGCTGAGTCAGCCCCCAACTCATGGTGACCCCATGCACAACGAGGTCAGACCATCATGATTCATAGCGTTTTCACCGGCTGATTTTCAGAGGCAGATTGCCAGGCTTTTCTTCCTAGTCTTAGTCTAGCTCAGTTGAAACCTGCTCTGCATCACAGCAACACACAAGCCTCCGCGAACAGATGGGTGGTGGCTGCACATGAGGTGCATTGGCCGGGAATTGAACCCAGGTCTCCCACATGGAAGGCGAGAATTTGAACCACCACTGCCATGACCCCACATAGAACCTATAAACAGTTGCTGTTCAGTCAACTCCAACTCATGGCGATCCCATGTGTGTCAGAGTAGAGCTGTGCTCCACTGGGTTTTCAATGGCTGATTTTTGCAAGTAGATTGCCACGCCTCTCTTTGGCACCTCTGGTTAGACTCAAACCTCCAACCCTTCAGTTAGCAGCTGAATGCATTAACAGCTTGCGCCACCCAGGAACTCCACCCCACATTTTAAAAAAAAAAAAAAATAAGTTGCCATCGAGTCGATTCCAACTCGTAGCGACCCTATAGGATGGAGTAGAACTGCCCTATGGGTTTTCCAAGGAGTGGCTGGTGGATTCGAACTGCTAACCTTTTGATTTAACAGCCGAGCTCTTAACCACTGTGCCACCAGGGCCTGCCCCCTCCTCCTCCCGCATATACTAAGTGCTAAATAAACATTCATTATTGTTGAACACCCAACGGCTATGGGCCAGGACCTGGGCTAGGCACACTGAGTTCTCCCAGCCGCCCTGTGACGTCAAGACTGTTTAAACACTCCCTGGAGGTTGCTCAGTGACTGGCTCCAACGCCCAGGTCTGAGCCCCGGGATCGTCACCTGATTAGAGAAGCTTGTGTCCCTCAACATCCCGCAGAACACAGGTTCCCTGTGCGTGTCCTCTGCCCTCTATGGTGTCCCACCCCAAGACCCTTGGCGGGATGCCCCCCCAGGCCCGGTCACCTGGATCCCCCGGTGGGCCACGGATCTTCCATGATCCTGAGGGTTCTGGGGCTCATCTGCCAGCACGGGCTCTGAGGACCGAGCCAGTGCCCGTGCCGGGGGCTCCTCGTCCACATCTGTGCAGGGCCCGCCCTCGCCATCCGTGTAACCCTCCCCGTCCGTCTCGTAGTCACTGTTGGCCCGGCTGTCGCAGCTGAGGTCAGCTGAGCTGTCGGCCAGGGCGCGGAGTGGGAGATCCAGGTTGTCGTCCGAGGAACTGTCCAGCTGTGGGGTGGGAGGGGCGGCGTGGATGCTGAGGCCGGCTGTGGCTGAGCTGAGACCCCTGCCCCAGAACAAGGCCCATCCCTGGTCCCAGACCCAACGCTTGCTCTGTGACATCAGCCTTCGAACTGTCCCAAATCAGGCAAAGGCACCTGGCCCTCAACCCCAAGGTGGGGCTTGACCTTGACCCCAGGTTAAGTCTGACCACTGACCCTCGACTCAAGACTAGGTCCCAAACCTGAGCTGAGCCCCCTAAACCTTGACCCCAGGCCAAACCCAGGCAAGACTAACTATGCAGTTCAAGCCCCTGACCCTGACCCTGGAGCCCAGCCCTGAAACAGAGCAGAGATGGGTGGGGAAGAATCAGAGTGATATGCAGAGACAAAGGGTCTAAGGTCAGAGTGGACCCCAGAGCCCTTCGCATCCACAGTGCAGCGTGCTGGGAGAAGGAGTTAGTGACATCTCAGTCTAAGTCCCCCAGTCCAGGCAGACTCCTGCCCTTTAACCCATGGTTGACTCAACCTTTGACCCCAAGCTGGCCCTTGATGCAAGGCTGAGCCCCCAGCTCTGAGCTGATCCTCAACCCTTGACCCTAGCCACCAAAGAAGACCCCAAACTGAGTTCCCCCAATGCCACCTCCCCCCAGGTACTAGGCTAAGACCGTAAGCCCCAGTTAAACCTTGACCCTGGCCATGCCCCTGACCCCGACCAAGCCCTAACTCCAGATGGAGGCCCCAAGCCCTGGCTGAACCCGGCCTGAGCCCTGCACCCCGGCCCAGGCCACATACCTGATCCTCAGCCGTCCAGATGGGCCGCGTCTGCTGCTCACAAATGATGGCCTTGAGTTCCTGGTACCAGGCGTCGCTCGTGCCATGCAGAGGGATGGTGGCTGTGGGGAGGGGACATCAGCACGGCCAGGACCCTACTCCCTGCCTGCCCCAGGACCCCCAGCTCCTCATCCTACCTGTGAAAATGTGGCTACTGTGTTTCTGCAGTTTCTGGGCCTGTGCGTAGAGGCGGCGGGAGCTGCGGCGGGAGGCGGGGGCCAGCCACTGCCGGAGCGCTTTGAGGGTCGACCGGCTCTCAGGGGCACAAAAGACCACAATGGGGTAGTACTGCACGTAGTTGAGGCGCTCAACTGCCGAGGGTGTCACGTCCAGGAGCGCGTGCTTGTCCTAGGCCAGACCCGGTGGCAGAGAGAGAGGAAGAGATAGAAAGTGATGGTGAGGCAATAGGATAGAAATAGAGCAGAGATGGATGGGGAAGAATCTGAGAGAAAGAGATGGAGAGACGAAGAGTCTGAGGTCAGAGTGGACCCTGGCCTTTCACATCCACAGGCTTGTATATTGGGAGAAGAGGTGGTGATGGTCCAGACTATGGCATCCTGGCACCAGAGCCCCAGTTTGAGTCTCTACACCTCTACCCAAGGCTTTCTGCTGTGTGAGTCTGGGCAGGCAGGCTCTGTCCCTCTTGGACCCCTCACATCACAAAGCCTCCAAGAGGGAGATCTATGGGAAATCATGCTTCCAGGACATGGGTGGGGACGGGTCGGCTGCTTGGGCCTCTGTTTCCCCATCCATGAAATGAGACCCATGGCAGGGTCCCATTTACCTTCTCTGCAATCACACGCACGGTGTCCAGTTTGATAATCTTGGAGGGGGTGTCAGTCCTCAACATGCTCTCTGTAAGGAGGAAGGGTGACCAGCAGCTTCAGCCCCTCAAACACATATCTACCCGCCCCTCCCCTGCTCAGGAACCCACTATGGCTCCCCATTGCCCTTCAAAGAAATCCTAACAGCCGCAGATTGACTGGTGTTGTCTGGCCCAGGCATTGGCATGAGGGCTGGTGGCTCCCATGCTTCATGTCTTCTATCCTTATTCTAATTCTTTTCACCCAAGTAGTATCATTGGTTGCCGCTTCATCAAGCTGCCTCCGCCCCAGGGGCTGACCCGGTTTCTCACCTGCGATTTCAAACTGGTCAGGCATCTCGGCAGTCAGCTTCTGCATAGCAATGTCTGCCACAGGTCCCAAGATCACCACCGGGCGCTTGAAGCTGGCTGAGAGGCAGAGAGCTAACAATAATCAGGGTCCATGTGCAGCAAAGACTGCTAATGTTTTGACAACCACTTCTCCACTTCCTCTGTAGTAATATATTTTGCCAGTCCCGTAGCTGCTCAGCTAAAGACTACATCTCCCAGCACCCCTTGCACCTAGCTGTGGTCAAGTGACTAAGTTCTGGCCAATGGGATGCAAGCAGAATACAATTCAGGATTGTGTCCTTCCAGGGAAGGTGCAGCCCTCCCGGCCTTCTTTCTCCTTCCCCCTGACTGGAATGTGGACATGGGTGAACCATCTTGGGCCACACACACAAGGCAAAAAAAACAAGATGGAAGGAGCACAGCCTCCACAAAAACTATGTCCACAAAACTATGAAGCACCAGGTCAGTGTACTGTTTACACTGGAACTCTTTCTTGAAAACAAAAAAACTTTTTTTGTTTATGCTGCTGTTATTTCGGGTTTCTGTGAAAGCAATTGAACCTACCTAACTAAGGTCGCTATGAATCAGAATTGACTCGATGTCAGTGGGTTTGGTTTTTTTTTTTTAACTCTGGTCAGCAAACTACTACAGCCACGTGGGCCAAATCCAGCCCACTGTCTGTTTTTGTAAATAAAGTTTTATTGGCACACAGCCATGTCCCTTTGTTTACATATTGTCTATGGTTGCTTTGTGGCAGAGTTGAGTAGTTGTGACAGACTGGCTAGCAAAACCTAAAATAGTTACTGTTTGGCCCTTTATAGGAAAAATTTGCCAACCCCTGGACTAACTGATAAACCACTTTACTGTTGAAGAAATAGGTGGGGAGGGCATCAAGGCAGAAGGAAGTGAGTATTGTAAGGGTAGATATACATAGAAAAAATAGATATATATCACTTTTCCTGGTACAAAAAAGGAGACTCTCCCCTTCCCTGGTACAAAAAAGGAGACTCTCCCCTTCCCTTTTATTTTAAAATATTTAAACAACTTGTAATTGTAAACTCTTTCTCAGACTCTTTTAAAATGTATATAAATCCTTTTAGAAGGCTAAACAAGCTTTTTACCAGTTTTACAACCTAGAAATCTTTCCTCCAGGGGCTCATCTGCCAGCACGGGCTCTGAGGACCGAGCCAGTGCCCATGCCGGGGGCTCCTCGTCCACATCTGTGCAGGGCCCGCCCTCGCCGTCCCTTTGAAATGTTATCATCAAGAAAGACAGCACCTCGTTCTCCCAGCTTCTTCTCGGAGGCCAAGAGCCTAACATCTAAGGCGCCTGACTCCAAGTTACAAAACTATCTCCTGTCTTGAAGATATAAAACGTTCACTTTTCCTTTTAGATTAAGGCAATCAAAACACACAAGTGACGACCCGAATTACTAGATAAATTTAAGATACATTATAATGTGAAAATGTCGAGTCGCGTCGACTCACGGCGACCCCATGTGTGCAGAGTAGATCTGTTCCATAGGGCTTTCAAGGCTGTGACCTTTCCGAAGCAGATTGCCAGGCCTATCTTCTGAGGCACCTCTGGGTGAGTTCGAACCACCAACCTTTCAGCTAGTAGTCGAATACTTAAGTGTTTGCACCACATTAAATCTTCTTACTTAAAGTTTAATTATTGCTTATCTTAAAACATTTATCAACTGAAATCAACTCAGTTACATTTCCTGTTAATCAGTTGCCATCAGGTTGATTCCAACTCATAGCGACCCTATAGGACAGAGTAAACTGCCCCATAGGGTTTCTAAGGCTGTAATATTTACGGAAGCCAACTGCCACATCTTTCTCCCTTGGAGCTGCTGGTGGTTTGAACTGCTGACCTTTCAGTTAGCAGCTGAGCGCTTAACCACTGTGCCACCAAGGCTCCTTGAGTTACATCTACTTGACTACAGAAAAGGACCAGATTCCTTTCTGTCTTCACAATCTCTTTAGCAGATTGCCTTTGATGTATCACATTCTAGCTCAATACTTATTCAATCAAAAAGCTTTTTGCATTCTCTCCTACCTTTGCAGAAAGGTTTTCTGGGTTAAAAACAAATTTTGTTTTTAATTATATTTTCTCAACAGTAGCCTGAGGGCAGTGGTGGCTCTGTGGTAGAATCCTCCCTTTCCATGCAGGAGACCCAGGTTCAATTCCCAGCCAGCGCACCTCAGGCGCAGCCACTGCCATCTGTCCGTGGAGGCTTACATGTTGCTGTGATGCTAAACAGGTTTCAGCAGAGCCTGCAGACTAAGACAGACTAGAAAGAAAGGCCTGGCAATTCTGAAAATCGGCCAGTGAAAACCCTATAGGTCGTATCAGTCGGATCCCACTGTGTCAGATCTCCACGAGGAAGTCAACACCCACAACAGCCCAGCCCCTGCTGGGTACTCTGGCCCTCTCCTTTCACTCTTTCCTTCCAGGCCTTTCTCCCTCTCTTCAAACTAGATACACTCAGAGTCCTACCCTTTCATTGGCTAGGGGTAGAAAGTAAATGCCATGGCCTTTTTTGTTTTTGAAGTCTTTTTCAGCTGGGCATTGAGGCAGCAGCAGGAAGAACAGCATTCTAGGGCTTCTGGGATGCCAACCCATTCCCTTCTGGGGAATTTGCTATCCCACCCCTTCTGTGGATTGTTTTTTTAAGGCTTTGGCACCTGGTTTTTAATCCCCCTCCCCTGAGGCTGTTGTCAAGAGCTTAATCTCTTTCCTTCCTGGAAACTGGATAAGGTTGCTTTTTTTCCTCCCAGCCTCTCAGGTAGGGAAAGGACCTACCTGCTTGGTTTTGCATGCACACATTTTCAGTTTTAATTGTGGTAAATGCACACAAAGTAAAATTTACCATCTTAGCCATTTAAAGTGTACGATTCAATAGAGTTCAGTACCTTCATGTTGTGTAACCATCACCACCATCTGGTTCCAGAACATTCTCATCACCCCCAAAGGAAACACCATACCCATCCGCAGTCACTTCCCCCACTCCAAACCAAAACCAAACCCTTTGCCGGTGAGTCACTTCCAACTTTTAGTGACCCCAATCCCTAGGCAACCACTAATCTACTTCTTGTCTCTATGGATTTACTTATTCTGGATATTTCATGTAATTGGGATCATACATTTGTCCTTTTGTGTCTGGCTTACTTCTTTCAGAGCCCTGGTGGCGCAGTGGTTAAGAGCTCGGCTGCTAACCAAAAGGTCAGCTGTTCAAATCCACCAGCTGCTCCTTGGAAACTCTATGGGGCAGTTCTACTCTGTCCTATAGGGTCACTATGAGTCAGAATCGACTCGACGGCAACGGGTTTTCTTTTACTCAGCACGATGTTTTCAAGGTTCACCCACGCCATAGCATGTATCAGAACTTCATTTCTTTCTTTTTCCCCCTTATCTTTTCTTATTTCACTGTGGATATCAGCACTAGAACCGTAATGCAACCCAAACACGTAATTATAAATTTTCTGCGTTGTGGTGGTTGTCAGTTGCCACGGGGTCAGCTCTGACTCAGGGCGGCCTTATGTATAACAGAACAAAACATTGCCCAGTCCTGTGCCATCTTCATGATTGTTGATAGAACTTCATTCCTTCTTAGGACCAAATAATAGTCCATTGTATGGATGGACCACATTGCGTGTATCCGTTCATCTGGTGATGGACACTTGGGTTGTTTCCACCTTTTGGCGATTGTGAATAGTGCTGTCGTGAAGATTTGTGGACAGATTTTTGTTTGGAGCCCTGTTTTCAGTGGGCATGTATTTTTAAGGGTATCTGCTTCACCTCAAGCTAACAATCTAGAAAGAGGGGCACCCCCTGAACATATAACCCAGTCTCATTATTCTGTCCAGCACTGCAGCTACTGGCCATGTGTGGCTGTTGAGCACTGAAACGTGGCAGGTCCCAACTCATATGCACTCTAAGTATGAGATACACACTGATCTCCAAGACTTAGCTCAACCCGAAGAACGTGAAATGCCACTGATTGTCCATTGGAATAATGTTTCCATCATAGTGTGTTGAATAAGAGAGATGACTGAAATTAACTTCAACTGCTTCGTTTTCCCTTTTGAAGATTATATATGTGGTTCACATTATACTTCTATTGGAAATAAGAATTAATTTTAAGGAAGGAACCCCTTTTCTATCTCTCTCTGCCCCCTAAGATAAACAAAAGTGCCTATTTTTGGTGGAAGAAGAGAGGTAAGGAGTGCGGCTTTTGGAGGGTGGACATGTGGGTATTCTGCAGCATCCCTAGGTTGAAGGGAAGTCCCTGGCTGGTGCAAATGGTGAACGTGTTTGCTGCTAATCGAAAGGTTAGAGGTTCGAGTCCATCCAGAGGCACCTCGGAAGCAAGGACTGGTGATCTACTTCCAAAAATCAGTCACTGAAAACCCTATGGATCCCTGCAGCAGATTTCCCAATAGCCAAAAGGTGGAAACAATCAAAATGGCCATCAACAGATGACTGGATAAACACAATGTGGTCCATCCATCCAATGGAATACTACGACTCAGTCATAAAGAGAAACCCACGTTACAATGTGGGTGAACCTTGAAACCATCAGGCTGAGACAGGTCAGTCAGTCACAAAAGGACAAATAGTGTGTGATCTCACTTATAGGAAATAAGCAAGTATATAGAAAGCAAAGATTATTAGTGGTTACCGGGGTGGAGTAAGGGGGAAAGGGGGTGTCACTGCTTAGGGGACACTGTTGTTATGTTAATGGTGGTGGAATCATTTGGAAAAGGAGGGTGAGAATGGTTGCCCAACATGAAGAATGGAATCAATGTCACTGAATTGTATACGTGGAAATTATTGAATTGGCAAATGTTTTGTTGTGTATATTTTCACTGAAAGAAAGAAAAGAGAACTATAGAGCAGTTCTACTCTGACACACATGGGTCAGAATTGAATCCACAGCAACTGTTTTTTATTTTGTTTTTGAGGTTGTTACTGGGCGGATAATCTCTTCCTAGTCAATGCATTTATTCATTCAACAAGTATTTATTATGCACTGTCATGGATTGAATTGTGTCCCCAAAAAATATGTGTATCAATTTGGCTAGACCATGATGCCCAGTATTGTGTGGTTGTCCACCATTTTGTCATCTGACATGATTTTCCTATGTTTTGTAAGTCCTATCTCTATAATGTTGATGAAAAGGGATTAGTGGCAGTTATGTTAATGAGGCAGGACTCAATCTACAAGATTGGATTGTGTCTTGAGCCAATCTCTTTTAAGATATAAAAGAGAGAAGTGAGCAGAGAGACAGGGGGACCTCATACCACCAAGAAAACAACGCAGGGAGCAGAGTGTGACCTTTGGACTTGAGGTTCCTGCGCTGAGAAGCCCCTAGATCAGGGGAAGACTGATGACAAGGACCTTCCTCTAGAGCCGACAGAAAGAAGAAGACTTCCCCTTGAGCTGGTGCCCTGAATTCGGACTTCTAGCCTTCTAGACTGTGAGAGAATAAATTTCTCTTTGTTAAACCATCCACATGTGGGATTTCTGTTAGAGCAGCAATAGGTGACTAAGACATGCACCTACTATCTGTAGGAGATCGGCCCTAGAGGGAACACTGGTAGCGCAGTGGTTAAGAGCTTGGCTGCTAACCAAAAAGTAGGCAGTTTGAATCCAGTAGCTGCTTCTTGGAAATCCTATGGGGCAGTTCTACGCTGTCCTACAGGGTTGCTATGATTTGCCATCAACTCGACGGCAGTGGGTTTGCTTTTGGAGCCCTGGTAGTGCAGTGGTTAAGCACTCGGCTGCTAACCAAAAGGTTGGCAGTTCAAGCCCACCATCCGCTCCGTGGGAGAAAGATGTGTTCGTCTGCTTCCGTAAAGATTACAGCCTTGGAGACCCTATGGGGCATTTCTACTCTGTTCTATAGGGGCACTATGAGCGGGAATTGATTCAACGAAATGGATTTTTTTTTGTTCCACCCACCCCGTCTGTCAGTTCGTCGTACTGCGGTAGCTTGCACGTCGCTATGATGTTGGAAGCTATGCCACCAGTATTTCACATACCACCAAGGTTACCCACGATGGACAGGTTTCAATGGAGTTTCCAGACTAAGACAGACTAAGAAGAAAGGCCTGGCAATCTACTTCCAAAAAACAAGCCATTGAAAACCCTATGGAGCACAGTTCCACCCTGACACACATAAGGTCACCATGAGTCAGAGTTGCCTTGACAGAAACAGGTAGTAACAGCTCGGTCACAGAGGGGATGTGGGGACTGTGGCTTGTAAAGGTCTGACATGGGTGAGCGTGTGGCCTAGGACTTCCTGTCTAAGGCCTCCCTGCACCCACCTGCCCCAGGCCCCACCTTCTCGCAGCACCACGCGCTCGTAGGGTGGATAGTGGCCCTGTTTGGTCAGAGCTGACAGGTCCTCGCGGCTCTGGTGGGTGGTCCTCTTGGCTCCCCGACGAAGGCCCCGCAGCCGCCAGAACTCGGCACGCGCGTTGGAGTTGGCCAAGGAGCCGGGCCCAGCTCCCACGGCCCTCTGGGCAGCCTCCAGACTGGCCAGCTGCTCTGCCCTGGGCAGAAGGGAAGAGGGTATTGGACGCTGTGGTCCACACCATGATGGCCCCCAAAAAACGCCCACACCCTAATTGCTGGAGCCTTCCCTGACAGAGAGTGTGCAGAAGTGATTGAGTGAAGTATTTGGAGATAGGAGACGATCCTGCATTACTGGCTGGCCCAACAGGATTACCGTCATGGTGACCCCATGTGACACAGAGTGGAACTGGGCTCCATAGGGTTTCCTTGGCTGCCGTCTTTACAGAAGCAGATCCCTGGCTAGCACAAATGGTTTGCACACAACTACTGTGTTTCGTTCTGTTGTACATAGGGTCGCGATGAGTTGGAACCAACTCAAAGGCACTTAACAAGAACTGACCTACAGGTTGGCAGTTTCAACCTACCCAGAGGTGCCTCGGAAGAAAGGCCTGGCTATCTGCTTCTGAAAGGTCACAACCTAGAAACCCTATGGAGCACAGGTCTACTCTGTACACATGGGGTTGCTGGGAGTCAGAACCGACTCAGCAGCAACTAACAGCAACAAGGCTGCGGTAACGCATCATAGCAGCCATCAGAGACTCATACAAGCATGGACCGTACGCCACCCTGGGCCCTCTACGTGCCTGCCCCGCCCCGACTGAACCCTGTTGACGTTGCTAAGTACTGACACTGTGCCCATTCCCACTGGGAAACTGACGCTTTGAGTCGGGAGCCCCTGGCAGGGGTGAGGTGGTGCCCACCTGCTCTGGTTGGGAATGACCCCCCGCTCCTGTTCCCGGAGGTCCCGACCCATGCGGGCCGCCAGCCAGTGGCCCCTGCGGGTGTGGCTCTGCCCGGGGCCCGGGTACAGTGTATCGACCACGTGGAAGACGTCGCCGCGTGTGAAGCCCAGGCCAGACGGGGGGCTGGGCTCCATCTCAAAGTGTGTGCGGATGTAAAAGGAGTCGCCCACACGGGACTGCACCATCTTCCGGAAGACTGCGGGAGACAGAGAGGCCACGTCCGCCACTGCTGCTGCCTGGGTCCAGGTCCTCCCCGGGGAGTGGGTTGGCCCGGGCCCCCCCACCTCAGGGACACGCTGGGGCCCGAGAGCGGGGGGACGAGAGGATTGGAAGGTGCAGAGGCCCAGTGGGGCACACACTCCAGTGCTCACCACTGGGCCACACAGGCGGGGATTTTCCAGCTTGGACATGCCAAGCGTGCACGCACACAATACATGTACACATGGGCACACACGTACACATGCGTACACATGCATACATGCACACGCGCACACACATACATGCACGCGTGTACACATGCATACATGCACACTTGGGCACATACACACACACTTGGGCACATACATGTGCCCGTGTACACATGGACACACACACGCTCACACAAACACACTCACTGTCCTGCTTCCGCTGCGTCACCAGCTCCACCTCCTCGCCTGGGGGCAGCCCCAGCAGAAACTGTACAGCCTCCTCCCGCGTCAGGTTCTGGAAGGACGTATCATTCGCCTGCCAGGAAGGAGGTGTAGGGATGGGACGGGGCATCCCCAGCTGTGTCCCAGACCTTCCTCGGGACAAAGCCCATCCCCAGCTGGTTCCCAGAGTCTCAGAGGTTGGGGACAACCTTGCACCTGTGGCATTGCCTTGTGGCAGCATGACGCCGTGACACAGGCGGCCGCCAGCATCCAAGTCATGACCTGGACAACAGGGTCGTGACCCACACAACAGAGTCAGGACCCAGACAAGGTCATGACCCAGACAACAAGGTCATGATACAGACAACAAGGTCATGACCCAGTTGATGAGCTCGTGACTCAGTAAGGTCATGACCCAGGCCGTGAAGGACTGAAATGACCGTGGGGTGAGGACACAGAGATACACACACATATAGCAGACACGGGCACTCCCGGGTCACCTGCAGGATCTGGTCCCCCTCCTGGATGCCCTGCCCGTCAGCCGGGCTGCCCGCCTGCACCCCCGACACAAAGATGCCCACGTCGTTGCCCCCGGCCAGCCGCAGCCCAAGGCTAGCACCCTTGGTGAAGTGGACCACTCGCACATCAGGGCTGTACCTGTGACAGGAGGGGTGTGGGTCAGACGGACGGGCCAAGGGGGGCATGCTGGGTGTCCCCAGGAGAGCCCATCCCCCCGGGCCTCAGTTTCCCAATCAGCCCCATGTGGTGGTCCCATTAAACACACTGGTGCAGGAAGACAGGATGCCACCAGATTGGGGAAGAAGCCAGGAAGTGGGCATCTCGGGTGTTTGGGGGGCACATACCCATGATCCTCCATGCTCTGGTCACTGGGCACCCGATAGATGTCATAGCTGCTTTCCGGGGGGGAGTCTGGAAGGGAAAAGCCCATTTTGTTCCCAAGCAACTGGCCCAGCTGAGCCTCCAAGCATTTGCTTTATGGGGTGACTGGTGGTTAACTTATATGTCCATTTATCTTGGCTCTGGTGCCCAGCTGTGTGGTCAAATACTGGTCTAGACATTGCTGTGAAGGTATTTACATGTGATTAACATAGAAATCAGTTGACCTTAAGTAAAGCAGACCACCCTCCACAATGTGAGTGGGCCTGATCCAATCAGTTGAAGGCCTTAAGAGCAAAGACAGGTTTCCAGAAGAAAGAAAGAATTCCGGCTCAAGACTGTAACAAAGAAATTCCGCCAGTTTCCAACCTGTCACCGGACCTATGGATTTTGGACTTACCAGCCCCCACAATTGCATAAGCCAATCCCTTAAAATAAATCTGTGTGTGTGTGAATATACATTGGTTCTAATTTTTTATTTATATATATATATATATATACACATATTGTTGGGTGCCATCAAGTTGATTCTGACACAGAGTAACTGTCATGGATTGAATTGTGTCCCCCAAAAACATGTGTATCAAGTTGGCTAGGCCATGATTCCCAGTATTGTGTGGTTGTCCACCATTTTGTCATCTGACATGATTTTCCTACGTGTTGTAAATCCTATCTCTATGATGTTGATGGGATGGGATTAGCAGCAGTTATGTTAATGAGGCAGGACTCAAGCTACAAGATTGGATTGTGTCTTGAGCCAATCTCTTGTGAGATATAAAAGAGAGAAGCAAGCAGAGAGACATGGGGACCTCATAACACCAAGAAAGTAATGCTGGGAGCAAAGCGCGTCCTTTGGACCCGAGGTTCCTGTGCTGAGAAGCTCCTAGACCAGGGATTAATGACAAGCTCCTTCCCCCAGAACGGACAGAGAGAGAAAGCCTTCCCCTGGAACTGACACCCTGAATTTGGGCTTGTAGCTCACTAGACTGTGAGAGAATAAACTTCTGTTTGTTAAAGCCATTCACTTGCGGTATTTCTGTTAGAGCAGCACTACATAATTAAGATAGCGACCCTGTAGGACAGAGTAGAACTGCCCACAGGGTTTTCTAGGCTGTAATCTTTATGGGAGCAGATCACCAGGTCTTTCTCCCAGAGAGCCACTGGATGGGTTTGAACCTCCAACCTTTTGGTTAGCAGCTGAGCACTTAACCATTGCACCACCAGGGCTCCATATATATATATATATATATATTCATCTTATTGGTTCTGTATCTATCTTATTGGTTGTGTGTGTGTATATATATTTTATTGGTTCTGTGTATATATGTATATATCTTATTGGTTCTGTATCTATCCATCTATCCCGTTGGTTCTGCGTGTATATATATATGTTGTTGTTAGTTGCCTTTGGGTCGATTCAAACTCATGGCGACCCTGTGGGTGCAGAGTAGAACTGCTCTGTAGGGTTTTCAAGGCTAACATTTCAGAAGCAGATTGCCAGGCCTTTCTTCTGAGGTGCCTCTGGGCAGAGTCAAACCACCAACATTTCAGCTGGTAGCTTCTGTTTGTCTGGAGAACCCTATCTAAGACAGTGTCCCGCCCCATGGTGAGCTGTCACCCAGACCTGCTCCTTCTGGGGGACTCTCATCTCAGGCTCATACCAACCTCGTCCCCCCGACCTCACTCAGACTTGGTGGATAGGATCAGAAAAATCAGGGGAGGTGTGCTGAGAGACATCGCCCCCCACACACACCTGCCCATCCCTCACCTGGTTCTGAGACGGATCTGGAGTCCACCGACCGCTCCTGCTGAAGCTGGGACCTCTCCCTGGAGGGAAACCAACTCAGGTGAAGAAATCATGTGAGGTAATACATGCTGCCTGCTATTGCAAGCTGAGAGGTTTTGGAATTGTTTGTTACATAGCCATAGCTAGCTGATACAACCCCCTACATCACAAGGTATTGAAGGCTTAAAGGAGGGGCCCGTTATCCAATCCCCAAGAGTTGGGCATTTACGTTAGGGCCAATTTTCCCCTTGTGTAAGCCTCACTATGATGAGCAAACACCCCCTGAGCTAAATCCCTGTACACATCCACATCCTCCACCCCCTCCGAGATGAATTCCACAAAGGGCCTCGCTGAGTCCAAGGGCAGACATATTCTGAAGGCTTCTGGGATGTGTTGTAAAAGGTTGCCCCTTTTGCTTTGTTGTAGTTGGGTGCCATCAAGTTGATTCCGACTCATATCCACCCCATATTACAGAGTAGAACAGCCCCATATGGTTTCCTAGGCTGAAATCTTTACGGAAGCAGATCGCCAGGCCTTTCTTTCAAGGCTCCTGTTAGTAGGTTTGAACCACCAATCCTTCATTAGCAGCCCAGCGCTTAACCATTTACGCCACCCAGGGAATCCATAGCAAGCGTGTTGTTGCTGTTGGGTGCTGTTGAGTCAATTTTGACCCACAGCGACCCCAGGTGACAGAGTAGAATTGCCCCATTGGGTTTCCTAGGCTGTAATCTTTATGGTAGCAGATTTCCAGGCCTTTCTCCCAGGGAGTCACTGGGTGGGTTCGAACCACCAACCTTTCGGTTAGCAGTCAAGCACTTTAAGTAGATCCGTATCTGGTTCTCCCAGCAACCAAGAACCCAGAGCCACATATTAGGAGGTGAGGAGGAATATGTGTGGACAGGGGAAGGAGGCCTCTTCCAGGAAGGCCATCAGGACTGCACCCCTGAAGTGACCCTCAAGGCCTCTGTTCCCACCCTCCCTGACTACTCAGCGACAGGGGTACATACACAGGGGAGGCGGTCCGGCTGGTATCGGCGCTCTGCTGCGCATGCTGGGGTGGTGGAGGGATGTGGGAGGGCGGCGCCTGAGACAGTTCTGAGCCCAGGTCTGAGATATCTGTGGGGGAGAAGGCATCATTGGCCACAGTTGTGCAGTTAAACTGGACCCATTTTACAGAGGGGAACATCAAAGCCCATCTAAGCAAACAGGCCTGGACCAAAGTTGGCGACTCGGCTTTGGGAAGCTCCAGCCCTGATTCGCTGTGCGGCCTTGGCAAGTTCCTATCCCTCTCTGAGCCCCGGGGGACAAAAAGACCTATTTCTCTAAGGGCCAGGCTCGCTGATTCCTGCTTGGCCTTCCCTGGCTTTCCCCGCCTTCCCTGGCCCCCTTTCAACCCCCTTTTGGGAACTGCCTTCTGGTCCCTCACCCTCCAGAAGGGAGCTGTCACTGTCGCTGACCGCGGGCGGGATGTTCACCAGAAACTGTCCGCGGTCCCTGAGCACTAGCAGGGTGAGCTTCCCTTCTGACTTCTCAATCAGCCGTCGCGTGTCACTCAGCGATAGATTCTCGCTGGACACCCCGTTGATCTGAAGAGACCAGGATGGAAGAGAAGAAGCAAGTTAAAGAGAGATGGGGACACTAGAAACAGATAACTTGGTGAGTGGGGAGACTAGAAACACACAATCCCCAAGGGCCACTGAGAACAGATACTTCCCAGGGAAAATGCTAAGGAGCCTGGTGACGCAATGGTTAAGTACTGGGCTGCTAACCAGAGCTTCAAACTGGTTCATTCAGGTTCAAACCCCTGCTGAGAATTTGCATTTCTAACAAGTTCCAAGGTGATGTTAAAGCTGCTGGTTGGGGACTAGTTCTCAAAATTTATTATACATAAAGATCACCTGGGTGAGCGGCCCTCAAAGATATAACTGGTCTCTTCCTGTCTGGAGCAAAGGAGAGTGAAGAAAACCAAAGACTCAAGGAAACAATTAGTCCAAAGGACAAATGGACCACAGGAACCACAGCCTCCACCACCCTGAGACCAGAAGAACTAGATGGTGCCCGGCTACCACTACCGACCGCTCTGGCCGGGTCGTGGACAGAGTGGGAGAGAAACGTAGATCAAAACTCAAACGCATAAAGAAGACCAGACTTGCTGGTCTGATAGAGACTGGGAACCCCCAAGACTATGGCCTTAGACACCCTTGAAACTTTGAACTGAAATCCCTCCTGGAGATTACATTATAGCCATACAATAGACAAGCCTATAAAATGAACAGTAACAGCAGTGAGGAAGGCACACCTCAGAACAATCAACTATAGGAGCCCTCAAGGGCAGCAGCTGCCCGAAGCAAAGTTCAGAGGGACAGTAGGGGCAGGAAAGCTGGGCGAATGGATACGGGGAACCCAGGGAGGAAGTGGGGAGAGTGCTGACACAGTCAGGGGTTTGCAACCAATGTCACAGAATAAGCTTTGTATAAATTGTTGAATGGGAAACTAATTTGCTCTGTAAACTTTCACCCAAACTACAATAAAATATTCAAAAACATATTTAAACACATTTTAAATACCTATTTTAAACATTAAAAAAAAAAATCACCTGGGGATCTTGCGAGAATGTATAGATTCAGATTCAGTACATCTGGGGCGGAAATGCAAATTCTCAGCAGGGATTTGAACGAGAATGAACCGGTTTCAAGCCCTGCTGCTAACTGAAAGGTTGGCGGTTGAAACCCACCCACTGGCTCTGCAGGAGAAAAGACCTGGTGATCTACTCCCATAAAGATTTCAGCCTAGAAAACCCTATGGGGCAGTTCTACTCTGTCACATGGGGTCGCTAGGAGTCGGAATTGACTTGACAGCACCCAACGACAACAAAAAAAATGTTAGAAAGGGATTTCTGCAATGAGAAGAGACAACGCTAAGAAACAACCCTCCCTGAGAATTCTAGAAACAGACAATTTTCTAAGAAGGGGTGGAGGGCACTGGGGAAAATTTAGAAACAGGTTGATTTTTTCCTCTTCCTAGAAGGGGAATATCTCAGGAGACACTGGGAACGGATCTGAGGGTGATATTAGAAACCACACTGATTAGAGGGTGGTGGTATTTAAAGACACTGACCCAGACAGTCGCCAGGAGGTACTAGAAACAGACATTAGGGGGTGGCTTAGAAACAGACAATTCCTGGGACGGGCTGACTGTGGAAGGTCGGTGCTTAGTGGATCTCCACTCACAGCAGGAATCCACTTCTAACATTTTCCCTAGGGAGTGTCTGTTTTCGGTAACCCCTGGGAATAGTGTGTTTCTAGTCCACCCACCAAACTATCTGTTTCCAGTGCCTGCTCCACGGCCGCCCAAAGCCACCAGAAACAGGCAATCCTCAGGGTCACTGGAAACAGAGAACTCTGAAGACACAATCGAGGCAATCAACCGGAAATGGTTTGGAAATCAAACATCAGGAATCACTGGAAATTGACATTCAGGGGTGTAGTCTGGAAAGGGGCCCTATGAAAGGGCAGCCCCTGAAAGCCTGGTCTCAGGCCGCAAGCATCAGAGCTACCTCAGGTGGGCCCAGGAATCAGCACTGCAGCCAGCTCACCAAGCTTGAGGGCACTAGAAACAGACCATCCCACGGGGATACTAGAAACCACCATCTCCAGCCTTTGGAAACAGGCAATACAGAAGCAGACGGCTCAGGGCCACTTCTGCTGACTTGCTGTGTGACTTGGTGGCACCGCCCCCTCTGGCCTTGGTCTCCCCGCCCTCCGGACAGGCCAGCTCACACTCACCTGTAGGATAAGGTCTCCCTCCTGCAGCCCGCGGTTCCGGGCAGCCAGGCCCGAATCTGTGATGTGCTTGATGAAGATCTGACTGCCCAGTTTGACCCCAAACTCTGTGGAGGGAGGAGGGGAACTGAGGCAGGGCCCGGGGTCTAGGCTGCTGACACCCTGCCAGGCCTCCCAGAGCTCAGCCTCCTCACCTGCCCTTGATCCACTGCCAGGATAACCTCCCCATCTCAAGATCTTAGCTTAATTCCACCCATTAAGGCATTTGAGAAGGAGCCCTGGTAACGCAATGGTTAAGCACTCAGCTGCTAACCAAAAGGTCAGCAGTTCAAACCCACCAGCAGCTTTAGAAAAGACCTGGGGACCTGCTCCCCAAAATATTACTGCCTAGGAAACCATGGTCATTATGGGTTGGAATTGACTTGACAGCAAACAACCTCAACGCCCAACACAACATCGACTCGACGGCAAGCGACCTCAACATCCAACACGGCATCGGCTCGACGGCAAGCGACCACGACGCCCAACACGGCATCGGCTCGACGGCAAGCGACCACGACGCCCAACACGGCATCGGCTCGACGGCAAGCGACCACAACAACCAACCACCACCAAACACCACCACCTGCTACTACCACCCAACCACCACCCAACCACCACCCAACCACCACCCAACCACCACCCAACCACCACCACCCAACCACCACCCACCACCCAACACCACCACCCAACACCACCACCCACCAACAGCCAACCACCACCACCCACTTCCACCCAACCACCACCTACCACTCAACCACCACTACCCACCACCAACCACCAGCAACCAATCATCACCCAACACCACTACCACCAACCACCACCACCACCCAACCACCACCAACCACCACCACCTACCACCACCCAACCACCAGCAAGAGCCAAGCACCGATAACCATCACCATCCAACCACCACCACCCACCACCACCAACAGCCAACCACCAACAATCATCACCACCCAACCACCTGGTACCACCCACCACCTACCACACAACCACCACCCACCACCAACCACCCACCACTCAACACCACTACCCGCCACCACCACCACCAACCAACAACAACCACCCACCACCCACCACCACTACCCACCACCACCACCACCAACCAACAGCCAACCACCAATTATCACCACCCAATGACCACCACCCACCACCACCCAACTACCACCTACCACTCAACCACTACCACCTACCAACAACTACCAACAACCAACCACCACCCACCACCACTACCTACCACCACCACTACCACCCAACAACCACCAGCAACCAACCACCACCAACCACCACCCAATCATGACCAACCACTACCCACCATCACCAACATCCTTCTGGCTATGTAAGGTACCAAATCCACAGGTCCCAGAATTGGGATGCGGACAACTTTGGGGACCATTACTCTGCTGACCACACACAATAAAAGTCTGGATGTCAGGACAGTGGGATTGTCCCTTTATGGGGACGCCAGGCCCCACTGCCACCACATCTACCGCAACCATGGCCGACCATGGCCAACCTTGGCCGGGAACAGCTGCACTCACCTTCACTCTCCCTCTGCCGCACCAGCACCGACTTCACGGGCCTCATCAGCACATCCTGCCGCGGGAGCCGCTTGAAGCCTGACACCAGGGCCAGCCCGTTGGCCTCAGAGCCGCCACCTGGGCTCCTGCGCCCATGGCTGCCAGCCCGGCTCCGGCGGCCAGCCCTCGGCCGGCGGGAGCGCTCACCCCAGGAGCGGCCGGAGCCACTGGATGAGTCGCCCTCATAGCCCCGGCCGTGATCAGCATCCTCGAGCTGCCGAGGCCCATCCTCCTCGTCTGAGTCCTGGTGCCCTGGGCTAGAGGGGCCAGCCTTTGTGGCGGGCAGCTGGATTTTCCGGGACCGCTTCACCGTCTGTCAGGGGAGGCAGAGAGGAAGGGCAGTTCCAGGCAGGGAGCCAGGGAGGCTCTGCCCCATCCACAGGTGGCTCTGGAGGACCCCGGCCCCTCTCTGGGCCTCAACGTCCAAGCTATAAAATGGGAACAAGATTCTATTGGCTCTCTAAAGCACAAGCAGGGGGATCAGGGTTAGGGCTCAACCTGAATCAGACACTGCCCGTGCCCCAGGGCCTTTGCACGGGCTCTTCCCTCCCACCTAGAGGCTTACTCACAATGTTGGCCAACTTGCTGCAAGTCTTGAGTATCTGGATAGCGAAGGCAGAGGTGACACTTTCCATGGAGACCCCATTCACCATCACAATGTGGTCCCCTATCCTGAGAGAGGAAGGTTGGGTCTGATGGAGGAGGCTTCACAAGGGAGCCCCTCTCACCAGGCCATCCCTGGGGGTCCCTGGAACCTCCAGGTCTACAAGGCCAGCTTCTAATTCACTGCTGTCCCCGGGCTCCTGAAGACATTTAAACCTCTGGGCCTCAGTCTCCTTATCTGTAAGGCAAGGCCAGTCATAAAAACAAAACAGAAGAGTTGCTATTGAGTCAACTCCAACTCATGGCAATCCCATGTGTGTCAGAATAGAACTGGGCTCCATAAGGTTTTCAGTGGCTGATTTTTCAGAAGTAGATCACCAGGCCTTTCTTCCAAGGCACCTCTGGGTGGACTTGAACCTCCAACCTTTCAGTTAGCAGCTAAGTGCATTCACCATTTGGACCAACCAGGAAATAACAGAACAGAAGCTTTGATTACAACTGGTCCCTTTGAGTCCCCTCACATTTTTCTCCCAAGTCCCCATTCCTGCTTTTCCTCCCCTCTCTATCTATCTCTGCTTCATTGTCTCTGTCTTTGAACCTGGCCCTGGGTTCTGAGCTGGACTCATTCATATCACCCGGCAGCCCCTCAGGTCCTGGAACCATTTTTAATCAACATAACTCCCAGGAGCCTCCCACCCCCAAGGGCTCAGAACACTGGTCTCCTCCCCTCCCCCTCCTGGCAGAAAGAAGTTTCCAGGACTTCCTGTCCCAAGTGGGTCCTAGGGCCAGTGTGACCCCAGTAACTGTTCTGAGCGACCAGGAAGTGCCGCGGGGAGAGTGAGGGCCGAGTCACTGGCTCTGTCCTGCTGCCAACTCCAAGCCCTGTGTTGACAGAGCTGGAAGGTGCCAGGCACACTCCAAGCTCCCAAGCTCTGGCCCTTCTCCTGGCACGCCGTCCCCGAGCTGGAACCCCAACTCTCTTGGTACTCACTGTAGCCTGCCCTCAGCCGGCCCCCCGGGCAATACATCGGACACAACCACGGACCCGCTGGACCGGTCTCCAGAGATGGCAACACCAAAGCCCCGGCGAGGGTCCTAAGGTGGAATGAGTCACAGGAAGAGCTTGGCTTTGCTACCCCAGCACAGAGTCTGCCATCCCCCAGGCACCACCCCCACCCCAGGAGAGGGAGGCCTCACCTTGCTGAGTGTGGCCGTGTGCTGCTCCCAAATTGTCAGCTCCTCCATGTCCGTCACCTGGTTGGAGGGGGACAGGGAAAGTGGGGTGAGGCCATGGCAGGCCCATAAGAGCATTCGGGGGGCCTCGCCCCGGGTGGGGAGCCTGGCTCGGATACTCCTGTGGTCTGCGCCTGTGGGCGGGTTGCTGCCTCTCTCTAGACCTCAGGTTTTTCATCTGCAAAATGGGTCTAAGTCAGTGGTTATCAAAAGAGGCGATGTGGCCCTCAGGAGACACTTGGCGTTGTCTGGGGACATTTATGGTTGCCACAACTGGTTGGATGCTGCTGGTGTCAAGTGGGTAGAGGCCAGGGATGCTGCTCAACACCCTGCAGTACACAGGACGGCCCCAGCCCAGAGAATGATCCAGCCTGAAACAACAATGGTGCTAAGGGCGAGAGACCCTGCATTGATTATTTGGAGAAAAAGTTGAGTTAGGTCCTAGATCACACTGTTGTTTTTGTTAGCGACCGTCGAGTCCATTCCCACTCCCGGTGACCCCATGCGTGCAGAGTATAACTGTGCTCCATAGGGTTTTCAAGGCTGTGATCTTTTGGAAGCAGATCACCAGGGCTTTCTTCCGAGGCACCTCTCGGTGAACTTGAACTTGTGACCATTTGACCTCTGTAGATTTTATAATCTGTTCACTGGCCGTTGCCCCCTATAGAATATCAGCTTGGGAGGGCCAGGATTTTCGTCTCATGGTGACCCCATGCACAATAGAAGGAAACACGGCGGGTCCTGTGCCATACCCATGGTCGGTTGCCGATAGGATGTGGATCGGATCGATGTGATCCATAGGGTTTTCATGGGCTGATTTTCGGGAGTCAATTGCCAGGCCTTTCTTCCTAGTCAGTCTGGAAGCTCTGCTGAAACCTGTTCAGCATCATACAACACGCAAGTCCCACTGACAGAGGGGTGGTGGCTGGGCATGAGGTGTATTATTGGCTGGGAAATGAACCACGTCTCCAGCATGGAAGTTAGGAATTCTGCCATTGAACAACCATTGCCCCCGTATCGTCATGTTACAGATGTGGAAACTGAGGCGGAGAGCTGAAGACACTTGCCAAGGTAACAGAGCCGGTGGAGGGTGGAGCTAGGGGCAGAGCCCGCGGCTACACTTGGATTCTGTTATTTTCGTGCCTCCGGTATAGCTGAATGTGGAACCCTGGTGGCGTAGCGGTTAAGAGTTATGGCTGCTGACCAGAAGGGTCGGCAGTTCAAATCCACCAGCTGCTCGTTGGAAACCCTATGGGGCAGTTCTACTCTGTCCTATAGGGTCGCTATGAGTCGGAATCAACTGGACGGCAACGGGTTTGTTTGTTGTGGGATAGATGAGCGCACCAGGCTCTGGGAGGCTCAGGTGCACGGCCAAGGGCCCGCAGCCCTGAGACGCTGGGAGAAGCGGCACCTGCCGCGCGGATCCCAGGCCCCGCCCCTTCCTTCGGCGGGTCTGCGCAAGCCCGGCTCCCTGGGGGGTCTCGTAGAAGTGACCGCCCCTCCCTAGCCTGTTCCCCAGCTGGGCACAGCGCGGTGGCCCGTTCCCCCCGCCGCAGCGCCCGCGTGGGAGCGCTCCAGTGCCTTTTCTTAGAGACTCCCGGATCTCCCAGGAGAGCAGCATTCCTGACTCGGTGGGGAGCGGAAGGGGGGCGGAGGAGAGAGAAACAATGCCGGGGGCGGGGCCCCACAGGGCTTCGGAGCCCGGCCAGTTAGCAGGGAGCCGGGCGGCCGCTCAGAACCAACGCTCAGATCCTGTCTGTGCCCCTTGCTGTGATGGCAGCTCTCTCGCAGCCTCAGTTTCCCCATCTGTAAAATGGGCACCGCCCGCCCTGCTTTTCAGGGCTATGGTGCGCGAAAGGGGCATGGAATCCACGCTTGGAAAGCTGACTGAGGCGCCTGGAGATGGCAGCTATTGTTGGAAGTAATAATAATGATTGTTCTTTGCAGGTTGCTGCGTGCCGACGAGTCGATTCCGACTCATAGCGACCCTATGGCACAGAGTATAACTGCGCTATAGGGTTCCCTAGGCTGTAATCTTTACGGAAGTAGATTGCCACATCTTTCTCCCGTGGAGCCGCTGGTGGGTTGGAACCGCCGACGTTTGGGTTAAGCAGCTGAGCGCTTAACCGTTGCGCCACCAGGGCTCCTTATTCCCGCCTTACAAAATAGGAAATCCAGGTTTAGTAACTTGCCTGAGGTCATACAGCGCAGGAGTGAACGCGAATTAGCCACCAGCCCACAGCTAGCTGCCTTTGGCTTTTTTTTTCTCTTCTTCTGAGCTTTTTTTTCAAAACAATTTTTTTTTACTTGCTTTGATTTTATATTGGTGTCATTCAATGGCCTTCCCGGAGTTTTGACTGCCTGGCCTATGGTGAGAAACAGCCAGTAGGGATCCTCGGCCCCTGGCAGGGTGGTGAGGGCGGCCCAGGCTTGCCCCAGCTCGTGTGGTCCATCTCCATGGATACCGGAGGCTTTGCCTAAAACCCTCCTGGGCTTCCAACGCCCCAGGGATCAAGCTTAACCCCGCAGCCCACCTTAGCTGAGCCTGCCTCTGAACCTTGGCGCTGGTTGTTCCCTCTGGGTGGGACATCCTTCCAGGGATTTCTACAGGGCTGGCCCCCAGCAGCTGAGGTCTTGGCTCAGATGCCACCTCCTCAGGAAGCCCTCCTTGACTACCAGACTAACCAATCTCCCCTGACACCCATCACTTCCCTGTTTTATTGATTTATTTTCATAGCATCTAAAACCTTCTCGAAGTATCCTGTATCATCAGCAGTTTTTAGGGGTTTCTGGCCTTTTCTCTTAGGTTGTGAAGGCAGGGCCGTGTGTCTGGGCACTCAAGGCCCTGGTGATGGGCCACCAGCATCTTCTGGGCCCTCCATCCAGTGCTCCTTTTCAGTACACCAAGTGCAAACTCCTATTCATCCTTCACAGCCCTAGCACCATGGTCCTTCCTCCAATATACACACACCCTGCACTCCTCCCTCTGGCCCAACCCTGATTACTGGGGCCTGGGATGTCCGAATCCATCCCTGACTTCCCTATATACCCACCCAATCTGGGGGTCCTGGTGGGAAGAAGTGGGGGACCTGAGGCCCCAGCATTGTCCCCCACAGGGCCAGGCAAAAGGGGGGAAGTTTCAGGAATGGGTGAATGGTGGAATGAAAGGCCGACTTGGCCACCAACCCAGCCAGGTGTGTCCTGAGTTCCCAGCCCCCCTCAGCCCCGCCTTCTTCCAGGTGCGCTCTGACGGGGCGGGCCTGGCCCTTGGTCCCCGCCACCTGCCACGCGAGGAGTACAAACACCTAACAAGAGACTCGCCCAGAGGAGACAGCGGTACCAAGTCCCACAGGGCCGGAGACATGTGGCTCCCAGGCGGCGGTGGTCCTCTCACCCCCTCCCCGCCCCCAGCTCCCGGATCACTGACCGGGGAGGGGAGGGGATAGCAAAGACAGGAGTTGGGGAGGGGATTCTGGGAGCTGTTTGTTCCCCGTGGCCTGGAAAGTGGCGGCTGAGACTAGAACAGCCTGGCCCTAGAGCCTCGGGCAGTGTGGCCCGGGGCTAGCACGTCCCCTCTGAGGCCTCAGGCTACCCTTCCGGGGCCCACTGGAGATCCAGCAACATGAATGTTATAAAGAGCCGATTCGACTTCCATTCCTGGAGGGTGAAGCCCCTCCAAACAGAGCCACGCTCTGTACACAGTAGGCACCCAATAAATGGTGGTTCTTTCTCCCGCAGCCTCACAGCATTCACCAGAATCATCGCAGCCCACCAATAAAGCCACTGCCCGCCGTGTCACCATTAGTGCTCCAATTTAACCAGGCCGAATACCCCTGGGAGGGGGCACTGCACGTCTTTTTTTAAGCACCAACTGTGTGCCAGGCTCTTAAAACACATTTTTTCTCTTGGAATCCTCCCCAATGCTCTCCTTTAAAATGAGGACCACCCAGTTTGCAGATGAGGTTGAGACTGAGGCCCCGAGGCACTGGTTCAAAGTTACAGCCCATTTAGCAGAAAAGTCGAGATTTGAACCCAAAGGAACCAGAGGTAGATCTGGGGCAGAGGAAGCCCCGGGGAGCAGCTTTTGGGGGCTGTTGTTGGGTGCCGTCCAGTCGATTCCGACTCATAGCGACCCCGTGTTAGAGTAGAACTGCCCCATAAGGCTTCCTAGGCTGTATTCCTTACTGGAGCAGATCGCCAGGTCTTTCTCCCGCGGAGCTGCTGGGCGGGTTGGAACCGCCAACCTTCCCATCCGAGTGCTTAACTGTTGTGCCTCCAGGGCTCCTATTAGGGGGCTAGGGGTGGCGAACTCGTCTAGCTGTGTAGCCCGGGCTAGCAACCATGCCCACCTGCACCTCAGTTTTCCCATGTGTTACATAGGTAGAGAGTGGGTAGGGTCCCAGCCCCCGTCTCTGTCCCCACCCCAACCCAACCCAATTCCCTCCCCTTCCACTGGGGGGGGGGGTGCTACTCGCCTGGAATCTCACGGCCATGGTCCACCCCGGGGCTCTCCAGCGCCCTGGCCCAAGGGGGGCCTAAAAACACTCAATCCGGCCACTTGCCTGGCGTGGGGGAGGAGGCTGGGGAGGGTCCCAGTAGGGTGGGGACCCAGCTTTCACCCTCCTCCCGCCCGCTCGCCGCTCCCGGCTGCACTTGTCCCTCTTCGTCCTCCTCCTCCCAGGCCGGCCCCGCCCCCGCCCTGACACGCCTTGGGGACACGGCGGAGGCCGCGATCGCTCCCCGGATCACAGTATCCAGACATGGGGCGGAAACTCTAGGCCGCGTTTTCCCCTCAGCCAAGCACCTGCCCGCGGTTGAGACTGGAGATGGGCCAGGCGAGGTTGCAGGGAAGATACGGAAGGGATTGTAGCCGCGTTTGGAACGGAGTCTATGTTTTGGGAGAGGTTTTCCATCCTTGAAACGGGCACACTTTGAGGTTCAGCTGGGAGACCCCTTGGATCAGGAACTAGTAGGGGGTCAGACATCTGCAGAGTGTAGGGCTGCTCCTTGGGTACAACTCACCTTAGAAGTTTACGCAAATTTCGCAGAGGGGAAACTGAGGCCCAGAGAGGCACATGGGCTTTCTAAAGATGCACAGCTCCTGTCACTGGGGCCTTGTCCTGAACTCCCAGCCTCGGGACTGTCTTCACACTCAGAATAGGGCAAGGCCACCAGCTGGGGAGGGTAGGGGTGGGACAGGAGGAAATTATCCAGGCTTCAGGAGGTAAAGGTCGGTTTCTCTCTCCTCACCCAGCCCTGCCTCACCCTCAGGGCCCGGATTCCTAAGATAAGACTCTGGTAAGGACAGAGAACAGGAAGCCCTCTACCTGGGGGGTGTGGGAAGGAAGGTGTCGCCTGGAGGGCTGGAGCTGGCAATGGCCCCACCCGCACATTCCTTTATGCTTTTAAGAAATACACCCTGAAACCCAGCTGTGGTGTTCCCAGCCCCAACACCAGGGTCCAGGAGACAAATCTGGGCATAGACGTCCCTTCACACCTCCTGCCGTTGTTACTTGCCGTGGAGTCTTTTGACTCATAACGACCCCATGTGACAGGGTAGAACTGCCCCGTAGGATTTCCTAGGCTGTAATCTTTATGAGAGCAGATTGCCAGGTCTTTTCTCCCGCAGAGGTGCTGGTGGGTTTGAATCTTGGACCTTTTGGTTAGCAGCCTAGCACTTCACCATGGAGCCACCAGGGTTCCTCTCCTGCAGTTAGGGATGGCCAAAGAGAGGAACCCAAGCTTCTAGTGGGAGTTGGGGAAGAAACTCTGGGGGAATCAGGGAGAAGACTTCCTGGAGGAGGGGGCAATGCAATTGGGGCTTTGAAGGTTGGGTAAGAGTTTGCCAAGTGAAGAAGGCAGACAATATAATCAACTTCTTGGAGACCCCCGAAGATGACTTCTCATCCCTTCCGATTGCAATTTTCCCCAAAACGCTAGAGTTGGTCCCTTGAGGGTCCCTAAAGACCTCCGAGGCAATAAACCTTTGCCGAAGCCTTTTCTGAGGACTCACTTAGAATCTCAGGACTGGAAGGGTTCAAATTCCAACTCTGTCACCTCTTTGCTGTGTGACCTCAGGCCAGTCACGTCTCTGTCCCTCAGCTTTCCCATCTGTTGGTTGTCCTAGGGTAAAATCACCACAAAGTTATGGTAAAGCAAAAAGAAAGATTTTATTCGGCATATGTTCAAAGAGGCAAAAGTGGGAGACAGACAAGCATGCTGCCAGAGCCACGTCTACCCGAGTCCAAGGAACGTTACAGAATCATCAAAATATATTAACATTACAAAATGGGTAAAATCATTGAAAGCGTCACCTTTTCACGGATTGGCTAAAAACTTCCAAATCACCATGATTCTACGTTTTGAATTGTCTTTCTCGATAATCCTTGGTATAGGTTTCAGCAAGGACAGTCAGGAGGGTCTTCATTGGTCCAACAAATCTTACTATTTACTAAAAGCTACTAGAAAAAGATAAGAGTGGAAATTATGGGGCTCTTTCGTGCTGTTTGTGATTTGCTTAGTTTATGCGAAAGGTTCCTTAAAATATATTTTCCAAGATTGTCCTAGCTACTGTCTTTATGGAGCCCTGGTGATGCACTGCTTAAGAGCTCAGGCTGCTAACCAAAAGGCCAGCAGTTCGAATCCACCAGCCGCTCCTTGGAAACCCTATGGGACAGTTCTACTCTGTCCTATAGGGTCCCTATGAGTCAGAACCAACTCAATGACAACGGGTTTGGTTTCGCTATTGTCTTTATACCTCAGGGCCCAGTTGAGGTGTCCTTGTGAGTCCTTGTGAGTCCTTGTGAGTTCAGCTCCAGCTGGGTCACGTTGTTTTTGCTCAATGACAGGTAATAATAGCTCCAATTTTATCTCCTAAATCACTATACATGGGGGAAAATAATAGTCCCTACATCACAGTGTAGTCAGGAGGCTTAAAAACGGCCTAGAATAGGCCATAAAGGAGCCCTGGTGGCACAGAGATTAAAGCACTTGACTGCTAACTGAAAGGTCAGCGGTTCAAAACCACCAGCAGCTCTGAGGGAGAAAGATGTGGAAGTCTGCTGCCATGAAGATTTACAGCCTTGGAAAACCTATGGGGTCGCTATGAGTTGAAATTGACACTACAGCAGTGGGTAGAACAGGACATAAGGAGCCCTGGTGGCGAAGTGGTCAAGCCCTAGGCTGCTAACTGAAAGATCGGCGGTTCGAACCCACTAGCTGCTCCATGGGAGACCGACGCGGCAGTCTGCTTCTATAAAGATTTACAGCCTTGGAAGCCTTATGGCGCAGTTCTATAGACAGTTCTCCTCTGTCCCGTAGGGTCGCTATAAGTCGGAATCAACTCAACAGCAACGAGTAGTAGTGGCAGTAGAATAGGACGTATGTGTGAGCTGCTGGCCTTTCCCAGCTGTGTGACCTTGTGTAACTCATTTAACCTCTCTGTGCCTCAGTTTTGCCATCTGTAAATGCGAATAATAATAGTACCTGCCTCAAAGGGTTAAATGAGTGAATGAGCCCTCACTAAGTGTTGGCCAGGAGCCCTGGTGGTACAGTGGTTAAAGTACTTGCCTGCTAACCAAACAGTCAGTGGTTCGAACCCACCAGCTGCTCCACGGGAGGGAGCGATGTGGCAGTCTGCTTCCATAAAGATTTACAGCCTCGGAAATCCTATAGGGCAGCTCTGCTCTGTCCTATAGGGTCAACATGAGTCAGAATTTGACTCCACGGCAATGGGTTTAAGTGCTGGCCACCACTTTGTCATGGTGGCTTGTGCGTTGCTGTGATGCTGCAAGCTGTACACTGGGATTTCAAATATCAACAGGGTCATCCATGGTGGACAGGTTTCAGTGGAGCTTCGAGACTAAGACAGACTAGGAAGAAAGGCCTGGCAAATCTACTTCCAAAACTCAACCAATAAAAACCCAATGGATCACAACAGGAACATTGTTTGATACGTGCTGGAGGATGAATCCCCTAGGCTGGAAGGCACTCAGAATACACAGTGGACCCAACAATGGACTCGAGCAGACCAACGATCATGAAGATGGTGCCCGTCGGACCAGCGTTTCGTTCTGTTGTACGTGGGGTTGCCATGAGTCCACGCCGGCTGAATGTCAACCAACAAGTGTTGGCCATTTAGTGCTATTCTTCTCATCAGCTAATCTGACTCATGCATTTTATAGATGAAGATTTACAGATGGGAAAGTGAGGCCCAGGGAAGCCTTCAGCCTCCCATTCCCCGCAGGACTCCATCCTGACCCAATGTGGAAATACCATTAACCGGTCGGAAAGCTTGCTAAGCTCCTGCCGTACACGAAGTAATTCAGCTTTTGCCAACATGACTTCCGGCCACCAGCAGGGGGCGCACGAAAGTTTCTTTTTGTTTTGTTCTTTTTTAGGTCAAACAAGCTCAAACGTTTTCTCAATAACTGTATTGTTTGAATGAGTCATAGGGTAAAACCTAAACAAATTCTCCGCTGGCTGTGCACATTTGTGGCTGTGGATACTCAAGAGGAGTTACTGATTGTACGCAGGTGTGACAAAATCGGGCAGGTAGCCTGCAGGTGACTGAGGCTGGGGAAAATTTTGTATTAGCTATAGAATAAGCAGGTTGGACCCTAACCGAGCATTTGCTTCGCACAGTTACCATACTACAAGATAACCTGTATCGTGTGCCCATCTCGAAGCTGAGAAAACTGAGGCCAGATGGGTTGAGCAGGAAGGCTGAGCTAAATTTGCCTGTGGCTCTGTTTGACCCCACAGCCATCCCTCTGAACCAGGGTTGGGCCAGGCGACACTGGGCGATGTCTGGGGTCATTTGTGGGTGTCACGACTTGGGGGCAGGTGCTACTGGCATCGAGTGGTTGAGGAAGACCCTCAAGGAGATGGCTTGACACAGTGGCTGCAACAATGGGCTCAAGCATAGCAGCGATTGTGAGGATGGAGCAGGACAGGGCAGTGTTTCGTTCTGTCGTACATGGGGTCACTATGAGTCAGAACCGACTCGATGGCACCTAACAGCAACAACTATGCCCCAGGCACATAGAGGGAAGGGGATCAGGGACCCACGTTCCACCTGGCCATCCAGTACCAACTTCAGCCAGGAGGGGGCAGTGCTGGGCTGGGCATGAAGGGTGGGGGAAGGGAGGATGCAGAGAAAGCTGGGGCAGGGTCGGGGTTGGGGGGTCTGGGAGTGGAGCCTATCAGAACCTCAGGCCCGGAAGCATCTCCAGCATGACCCTGCTAGGAGACCGAACGAGCGCCTCCAGGGAAACCGAGGCCCGGAGCAGGCAGAGGCTGGGCTGAGGTACCCCAGTCAGTCCCAGCCTCCAGGAGGGGCTGGGAGCCTAGGGAGAGGGGATTTATGGCTGGAGGAGGCAGAGGTTGGGAGGGTAGGACGGACTGGGCTGTTCTTATCTGTGCCCAACAGGTCTGACTGGAATCCAGAAGCAGAGTCCAGAAATTCCTGAAGCAGCCCTGCAGGCTGGGCTGG